CCTGAAGATAAGACAAGAAGCAATGGGCGGAAACTCATCAAGGAGAGGAGCAACTTAGAACTAAGGAGAAATTCCCTGACAGTGAGAACAATGAATGGTCAATGGTCACTAAATGAACCGTTGTAAGTTGAGGACTATCTGTACACAGCAAGTTCTGAAACAGTTACCCTACAGAGAAGAATAGAATAAAAAATGAATAGAGTAGAGTAGAGTAGAGTAGAGTAGAGTAGAGTAGAATAGAATAGAATAGAATAGAATAGAATAGAATAGAATAGAATAGAATAGAATAGAATAGAATAGAATAGAATAACAGAGTTGGAAGGGACCTTGGAGGTCTTCTAGTCCAACCCCCTGCTTAGGCAGGAAACCCTACACCACTTCAGACAAATGGTTATCCAACCTCTTCTTAAAAACTTCCAGTGTTGGAGCATCCACAACTTCTGGAGGCAATTAGGACCTCTACACATTATCCGTAGAGGTGATGATATGCATGCTGGCTGGGGAATTCTGGGATTTGAAATCCAATCCTCTTAAAGTTGTTGAGTTAAAAAAAAAACCATTGGCATAATCCAATGAGTCATTAAGGCTAAAAGAATAGTAGGTGAACAGTCAGAGCAATGTGACTTTCTCTAGGAACTACAGAAAATGTTTTATAGATCTAATAGTATGTCAAGAGTTTCCATAAAGGTAAAGGTTCCCCTCGCACATACATGCTAGTCGTTCCTGACTCTAGGGGGCGGTGCTCATCTCCGTTTCAAAGCCGAAGAGCCAGCGCTGTCCGAAGACGTCTCCGTGGTCATGTGACCAGCATGATTCAACACCAAAGGCGCACGGAACGCCGTTACCTTCCCACCAATAGGGGGCGGTCCCTATTTTTCTACTTGCATTTTTTACCTGCTTTCGAACTGCTAGGTTGGCTGGGACAAGTCACGGGAGCTCACCCCATTACGCAGCACTAGGGATTCGAACTGCCGAGCTGCCGACCTTTCAATCAACAAGCTCAGCATCTTAGCCACTGAGCCACTGCATCCCATAGCCCCAGTTTAATCCTTGGTTGTAAGATGAAGTCAAAAAAAAAATTAAAATAAACCGATGTTCTGTCACAGCTGGCCTTTGCAGGCTCATTCCTGGGCCGAATTGTGCAGCCATGCGCGGTGAGCAAAGCCTGTGAAACAGTGATAGCATTAATTCGCACCACAGCATGGCCACAGATGAGCCTCCTCAAGCAACAGTCTTGTTTCAACTTGGCCAAAGTCATCCTTTGCGTTTGTTCATTGATGCTGTTGCGGGAATTTTCCCCCAGTGCTACCCTCTCTTTAGTGTTAAGAAATAAATTTTGTCTTTTGTCTATTCTGGTGCACTCCTTATTCCTCTGTTTGTTTGTTTTCTTTCTGAAAATAAATCTTTATTCTGAACTTTGAGAAGCAATGCAGTTATCCCATCAATTGGTCTTGTCTAAAGTGCAAAACTCTATACAATTAAGGTGACCAATTGAAGATATAAAATTATCTCCGGAAATTTTTCTACTAGGAATGACGGAAGATGGACTCTCTAAGGACAAGACACAATTAATTATACATATTATAACAGCGGCCAGATTAACCTTTGCAAAATACTGGAAAGATAAACAAATCCCTTCAGAGATGACAATAACAAATAAAATTCTAGAATGTGCAGAAATGGCAAAATTAACTAGTGTTCTTAAAGACGATGAGAATTCTAAATTTAAGGCAGTATGGGAAAGGTGGTACAAATGGTGGAATAATAGAACAAGACTATAAGGATATGCCTATTTCTAATAATGATAGATTTGAAGATACTTGATGTGTATATAATGTATATATGTAATCGCACGATACCTCAGATGTTACCTGAGATTTGATATTTTCTTTTTAAAAAAACCTTTTTTCAAAAATCAATAAAGTATTTATAAAAAAAAAAAAGGTGACCAATTGTCCTCCTTTAGGGGGGGACAGTCCTTCTTTTGTAAGTTCTGTCCTCTCTTGAAAAGTCTCCTCCTACGTGTCCTTCTTTTCGATATTTGAAGACTAATCTATAATTCTCCGTATTCGATCGATGCCGATCCGATCCGTTGCATGTGATGTGACGTATTTGTATTTGACATGACAATTCGTCAAGGCTCGGTACAGTGCGGCGAGATGTGATTGTGAGACGCATATGCTCTGCACAGGAGAACTGTTTTGAGAGAGTGTGTCGCGCACAAGTGGCTTTGTGTACTTCTTACAAAAACACAACACGGCACACGCATGCATTAGACAGATTGTTGCAATGAATAAAATATTTATTTTATTTATGATTTTTTTCCCGTCAATTTATTTGTGTCCTCCTTCTCATTGTAAAAAAGTTGGTCGCCTTAATAAAATTCCTCTGCTTTTGAATAGTTAAATAGTAATTTTTCCTCTGTTTTTAATACAGGTAGTATATCACTTACGATCACAATTGGGAACGTAGCAATTTCCATGGCTATTGGTTGCTCAGTGAGTCGGGTGCAATTTTATGACCCTTTTTTTGCCACCGTCGTTAAGCAAATCAGAAGGGGGAACAAAAAAACCAAAATCGAAATCGGACTCCCTATCTCAAAGGCAGCTAGAGAATTGAAGGAAAAGAAGGAGATTTTCTCGAAACCCAAGCCTTGTCAAAAATGAATCTGATGTCACATTGTCTTCCCCCCAAAATCCATGTGCACGCATGTTCTTCCAGAAGGGCAAATCCCTAGGGGGTTCAGCTGGCGAGACCCGTAAGATTCAGTTTTGCCTACTCGTTTCTTGAATCTCTCTGCTGCCAAAATACACAAAGATCTGGAAAATTTTTAAACACAGTGTGTCATGGTTGACAACGGTAACGGGAGGGGGGGAAGGGAAGGAAAGCACTGGAATGTAAGGGAATTTGGGGAAGGAAATTTGGAATGCAACCGGAAGCCTGAAACAGACCCAAGGTCGCCCAGCTGGAGAAGTCCAAGGCAAACAGATCGATCCCAAAACAAAGAGAGCAGAAGTGATTGGTGGACAATACACAATGGGAAGTCCAAGGAAAAAGGGAAAGTTCTCCAGTGTTGTTTTTGTGCAAAATCGTCAGAATTGGCTTTTTGACTTCTGCAACCAGGATCGCAGTGGCTCAGTGGCTAAGACGCTGAGTTTGTCGATCAGAAAGGTTGGCAGTTCGGCGGTTCGAATCCCAGTGCCACATAATGGGGTGACCTCCCGTTACTTGTCCCAGCTTCTGCCAACCTAGCAGTTCGAAAGCGCATAAAAAAATGCAAGTAGAAAAATAGGGATCACCTTTGGTGGGAAGGTAAGAGAGTTCCGTGCCTCTTTGGCATTGAGTCATGCCAGTCACATGACCACAGAGACATCTTCGGACAGCGCTGGCTCTTTGGCTTTGAAACGGAGATGAGCACCGCCCCCTAGAGTCAGGAACGACTAGCACATATGTGCGAGGGGAACTTTTACCTTTACCTTACTTCTGCAAATCGCATGGAATCTTTGGGAAGGAAGGAAGGAAGGAAGGAAGGAAGGAAGGAAGGAAGGAAGGAAGGAAGAAAGAAAGAAAGAAAGAAAGAAAGAAAGAAAGAAAGAAAGAAAGAAAGAAAGAAAGACGTAATACGATCCCTATCTAGTTTACCCCAGGAGAAAGAAAAAAAGAAAGAAAGAAAGAAAGAAAGAAAGAAAGAAAGAAAGAAAGAAAGAGCACGCGCTCGCACGTGAGCTTCCTTTTCAGCACTCGGCGCCAAAAAGATTCACCATCACTGTTCTAGAAGAAGAGACCATCCCTATTTGTTCTGGACACGCTTCCGATTTTCTGGAACCCATTTTTAGAAACAACGCTCTACAAGGAATAGCAATAGCAATCGCAGTTAGACTTATGTACCACTTCACAGTGCTTTACAGCTCTCTCTAAGTGGTTTACAAAGTCAGCCTATCGCCCCCAACCATCTGGGTCCTCATTTTACCAACCTCGGAAGGGTAGAAGACTGAGTCAACCTTGAGCCTGGTGAGATTCGATCCGCCAAATTGCTGGCAGCCGGTGATCAGCAGAAGTAGCCTGCAGTACTGTGCTCTAACTACTGCACCACTGTGGCTCTTAGAGAAGCACGTACTTCCCTCAAATGTGATAGTATAGTGATAGAATAGAATAGTATAGCAGTTATAGTATAGTATATAGTATTTTTATAGTATAGGAATAGTATAGAAGTATAGTATAGTAATAGTATAGTGATAGTATAGTGATAGAATAGAATAGTATAGTATAGTATATTTATAGGAATAGGAATAGGAATAGGGATAGGATAGGATAGAATTATTGGCCAAGTGTGATTGGACACACAAGGAATTTGACTTTGGTGCATAAGCTCTGAGTGTATTATACAAAGGATTGATTGATTGATTGACCTCTTCCTCGTTGGAATAATGTTTTTATCCCAATGCTCCAAGCCAATTGCAAGCCACTACTAGACCTAAACTCCACCCCGTGCAGGGACGTCCCAACCAAGCAGCTGCCCGGCTACCACCAAACCCAAACCAAAACCCGCTTGGATTCTGCAAAACTTTCTTTGCGCGTCATCCTTCCCCGCGCATGCGCCATCGGGGAGGAAGACGTCATCTCTTTCCTCGAACTACCCCCCCTGAGGAATCTTCCATTCGCCAAGGAAGGAGGAGGTGGGGGAGTCAAATCCTACCAAAGCTTTAAATCCCCCGGTGGAAATTCTCCCCAATCGATCGAAAGGATTTTTTTTTCTTTTCAGTATCTCCAGTTTTAACCTTTGGAGCTTATTTTTTCTTTCTTTGGTTGTTTTTTTTTTGGGGGGGGGGGAGAATGTTGTTGCTGTTGGTACGTCCCACCGCCCAAACCCCGTCGCGCCTTCCTTGTCAAATCCGGGCGCGTGTACGGAAGCCGAAGCGGCTCAAAAGGGCCCCGGGTGGGTGGGCGCGCGCGTCTCCCCGCCCCTCGGCCCCGCCCTCCGCACGCTCCGCTGACGCCGCCTGGCTGCCGACGTGGAGCCGGCCGAGGCCGCGGCCAAGGCGGAAGTAGCCCGGGCGGAGGAGCCGGAGACCTTCGCCGCCGCCGCCGCTCTAGCACCCGCGGCCATGGAGAGCTCCTTGGAGAAGGTGGGCGCTTGCCCGGGGGCGGGGCGGGGTGGGGAGATCTCTGGGGAAAGGGGGGGGGGGCGCTGATCAAGGAGGGGGGGGGGGGGAGGGGGGAGTATGAGCCGAGAGGGGGGGGGGGGGGGGGCAGAGAAGATGCGTCTCGTATTCATAATGGGAGGGTAGTGATGTCAGCTCGGCTGTGGGATTATATTCCTCCCTCGATCCAATATTTGCATCGTGGAGGATCTGGTGGTGGAGGCAATGGTAGTGATTTGTGCATTAATCATAGGGGTATAAAATATATGTATGTATGTATATATAGGCGCACAGATAGAGAATCCCTATGATTAATGCACAAATCACTACCATTGCATAGGTAGGTATTGCGTAGGTAGGTAGGTAGGTAGGTACAATAGATAGAAAGATACAAGCAGGTAGGTGGGTAGGTAGGTAGATAGATGATAGATAGATAGATAGATAGATAGATAGATAGATAGATAGATAGATAGATAGATGATAGGTGGGTAGGTAGATAGATAGATAGATAGATAGATAGATAGATACAATAGATAGAGAGATACAATAGGTAGGTAGGTAGGTAGGACGGTAGATAGATACCATAGAGAGATACAATAGATAGAGAGATACAATAGGTAGGTAGGTAGATAGATGATAGATAGATAGATAGATAGATAGATAGATAGATAGATGCCGTAGATAGATACAATAGGTAGAGAGATACAATAGGTAGGTAGGTAGGTAGGTAGGTAGATAGATGATAGATAGATAGATAGATAGATAGATAGATAGATAGATAGATAGATGCCGTAGATAGATACAATAGGTAGAGAGATACAATAGGTAGGTAGGTAGGACGGTAGATAGATACCATAGAGAGATACAATAGATAGAGAGATACAATAGGTAGGTAGGTAGATAGATGATAGATAGATAGATAGATAGATAGATAGATAGATAGATAGATACTGTAGATAGATACAATAGATAGAGAGATACAATAGGTCGGTTGGTCGGTAGATAGATACCATAGAGAGATACAATAGATGGATACAGTAGGTAGGTAGGTAGGTAGGTAGGTAGGTAGGTAGAAAGATAGATAATAGATAGATAGATAGATAGATAGATAGATAGATACCATAGAGAGATACAATAGATAGAGAGATACAATAGGTAGGTAGGTAGGTAGGTAGATAGATGATAGATAGATAGATAGATAGATAGATAGATAGATAGATAGATAGATAGATACTGTAGATAGATACAATAGAGAGAGATACAATAGGTCGGTTGGTCGGTAGATAGATACCATAGAGAGATACAATAGATGGATACAGTAGGTAGGTAGGTAGGTAGGTAGGGTAGGTAGGTAGGTAGGTAGGTAGGTAGGTAGAAAAGATAGATAGATAGATAGATAGATAGATAGATAGATAGATAGATAGATAGATAGAAGATAGATAGATACAGATTGAAGATAGAAGATAGATTAGTTAGAAGATAGATAGATAGAAAGAAGATAGACAGATAGATATATAAATGATAGAAAGAAGATAGATAGATTAGACAGAAGATTCATACCTTAAATGATTTCTGTTCATTCCATGATGTTCTTATACTAGGGCATCTATATTCAGAGCGAGCCAGTAGGGTGGTTCAGTGGGGATGGAGCTAGGCAGTGGGGAGACCCACTAGTCTCCCCTCAGCCCCATAAGATCATTGGCTGACTTTGGACCAGTTCCTCCCTCCCTCTCAGGAGGTGCAATGGGGAAGGTGGCAAGCTAGGAGTGGGGAGATCCAGATTCCTTAATTCTGGGCCTTTCAGCTGTCCTGGAACTGCAGTTCTGAATTCTCAAAAGTTTGGGAAGTTGCGATCTCCGTATTTGTGAACTGCTCCAATTGTGGGGGAAACCGATGTATGCAAATCAGATATTTGGAGATGGTATTTGTTTTTATTCTATACCAACAAGCAAATTTGTGGCCTGCAGCTGTGAATAGCTTAGATCCTTTTTCTTGGCACACATTTGTGTACATATCCAATGCCATGTATATGGCAAACGTGGACAAGTATGTCCCTGTTATGTCAAGATTTGTTTAATAAAGTCCCTTGCAATCTTGCCTGAAATGGATATAATCCCAGCAGTGGAAGAGAAAGCCAATGACTTTTACTTTCTGTTAATCTTTTGAGAACGGATTCCTAGGTAAGCCCCTGGATTCAGACTTCGGTGCTGAGATCACTGATCAAAAGGATATCAGTTACCAAATTTTGAAAGGTATAATTTACAGGCACTTAACAGGGGTGACTTTGGCCAGTCCTTCTCCCCCCTCTCTCAGCCCAACCCATGTCACAGCTTCCTCATTGTGGAGAAAATAAGAAGAGGAAATCTTAGGTATGCTTGCCACCTTGAGTTATTTATGAAAAAAATAATAAAGGAGGATTAAAAAATAACATGCTCTTCCCGTTTAAGAGAACTAAATTTCGTGAGGATTTGGGACCAAAAACACCCACTTTGATTGAATGGATCTTTAGTCATTCATGCTTTGGATGTAGAAACGAATGTCAGTCACGTAACTCTAATTCAAAGGATGCTAAAATGGACCTCTAAAATTAGCCAGGGAATCACGCAAAGATTTATTGATAGGGCAGCCATGAATGTTTCTGAGCTCAGTGATAAATGACTAGCACGAGGAAGAGGAATTGTAGTTTGATCTGATACCGTTGAACGTTTAAGCATCGGTTGGTTAGCCTGTTAGCATTGACTACAATTTAAAGATCTATTGCTCGTGTTATGAATGTTGGGAGCAATTTATTCAGGGTTTTTTTTTTTCGATGTGTCAAAAGCTCTTTGTGCTATTTCCATGCTCCTGTGAATAAGATAGGAAGCACATGGTCCAATGAATTGACAAAAGTTTGACCTCAATTCTCCGTTCCGAAGAAACTGGAATATATTAGGCGGGTCTGATAAATCATGTGAAAATTGCTTTGTCGGGTATTTCATTGGATGTCGCCTGATGTTGTGTGAGATTATTTCCCCCGAGTTGAAGTCTCGGTTGGTGACTTTCACTCAAAAGGCATGAAAGAACTCTTACCTGTAGCCAAAAACCCAAAGCAACTGTCTTTTTATTCCATAAAATAAAAGATACTGAGAGAACAAGGAAGAGCATGCAAATGTGTGTTTACTTCTGATTCCGGAATCAGGATTTCAAACCAGTTTGTTCACATTTATAGAGTCCAAAGTTCTTTCCGATGGGTTCAATGACATTGTCAGCATGGGTTTTTACTTCCTCTGGTGGTGCCCTACTTTGCTGCTGTGGCTGTGAACATAACTTTGCTTTGCTGATGATAGGGGGGAAAAGCTGATGATGGAAAAACTACACAATATTTGATACTCTGTTTCCCCTAAAATAAAACCCAACTGGAAAATAAGCCCTAGCATGATTTTTCAGGATGCTCGTAATATAAGCCTACCCCAAAAATAAGCCCCAGTTAAGATAGTCAGCAGACGGAGGCATTTAGTACTGTATTTCCCCCAAAATAAGAACCAACAGAAAATAAATCCTAGCATGATTTTTCAGGATGCTCGTAATAGAAGCCCTACCCCAAAAATAAGCCCCAGTTAAGATAGTCAGCAGATGGAGGCATTTAGTACTGTATTTTCCCCAAAATAAGAACCAACCAGAAAATAAATCCTAGCATGATTTTTCAGGATGCTCGTAATATAAGCCCTACCCCAAAAATAAGCCCCAGTTAAGATTGTCAGCAGAAGGAGGCATTTAGTACTGTATTTCCCCCAAAATAAGAACCAACCAGAAAATAAATCCTAGCATGATTTTTCAGGATGCTCGTAATAGAAGCCCTACCCCCAAAATAAGCCCCGGTTAAGATTGTTAGCCAGACGGATTCATTTAGTACTGTATTTTCCCAAAAGTAAGACCTAACTGGAGAATAAGCCCTAATGCGTCTTTTGGAGCAAAAACTAATATAAGACCGAGTCTTGTTTTGGGGGAAACACGGTAGATATTGCAATACTTTGGGTCGGCTTCCTTGAAGGATGGGAAGCCACAAGGCTCACAGTACTGATGAACAAGGGATGCATTTCTCAGGACGCAAGGCCAAGGTACAGGTAGTCCTCGACTTACAACAGTTCGTTTAGTGACTGCTCAAAGTTACGACGTCACTGAAAAAAAGTGGCTTAGGACCGTTTTTCACAGTTACAACCTTTGGTAGCATCCCCATGGTCACGTGATCGAAATTCAGATGCTTGGCCAACCGGCTCATACTTACGACCCTGGCCGTGTCCCGAGATCACGTGATTCCCTTTTGCAACCTTCTGACAAGCAACGTCCATGAGGAAAGCCAGGTTCACTTAACAACCGGGTTTACTAACTTATCAACTGCCGTGATTCGCTCAACAACTGTGGCAAAAAGGCCGTCAAATGGGGCAAAACTCACTTAACGTCTGTCTCGCTTACCAACAGAAATATTGGGCTCAATCGTGGTCGTGACTACCTAGATAGTTTGAATCCATGTAATGGTCCTGCCCAGTTGATTGAGGACAGTCGGGACAGCCTTGCCCAACTGGGAGTCCCAATTATTTTATTTTTCTGGAAATTAAATATACAAAAACGGGAAATATGAGATAACATGAGCAAATCGGTTTTTAAATTTTAAAAAGCAGTGACAGAGTTCTCAAGTTATCCAGCGGTTTCTTAGAAAAAGGCAGGTTCCACCATGCCTTTATTTGCCATGTTCCATCAAAATTGGATTTAGTTTATTTGTCATACCTTGGCATTCCCTCTCAAAAAGGTAAAGGTTCCCCTCGCACATATGTGCTAGTCATTCCTGACTCTAGGGGGCGGTGCTCATCTCCATCTCAAAGCTTGAAGAGCCAGCGCTGTCCAAAGACGTCTCCGTGGTCATGTGGCCAGCACGACTCAACGCCAAAGGCGCACGGAACGCTGTTCCCTTCCCATCAAAGGTGGTCCCTATTTTTCTACTTGCATTTTTTTACGTGCTTTCGAACTGCTAGGTTGGCAGAAGCTGGGACAAGTCACGGGAGCTCACCCTGTTACGCGGCACTAGGGATTCGAACTGCTGAACTGCCGACCTTTCGATCGACAAGCTCAGCGCCTTAGCCACTGAGCCACCGCATCCCTCTGAGCCACCATGTCCCTAAGGGTACTCCTAAGGGTACCTTGTATTATTTGTTATATATTGAAACGTCGGAGCTGAAGGTCTGCTCCACCTTTAAAATAAAAAAAAGGGAAGGTGAAAGAGCTGGTTGGCATCTCACAGCTGCATCCACACTGCTGGGCTGCAGATATTATTACTAGAAACTGTATTCCCAATGGGGGTCTGTAAGCAATTGTTTTCAATGTTTATCAAGCACAGGGAGAGAGAGAGAGAGAGATTTCTGCTGACGTTTGGATAAAGCCTCCCAGTTTAAAATGTGTCCCTTCTATATTTTTTTATTTTTTATTTATTTAATTTGATTTATATGCCGCCCTTCTCCAGAGACTCAGGGCGGCTTACAATGCGCTAAGCAATAGCCTTCATACTTTTGTATATTTATACAAAGTCAGCTTATTGCCCCCACAAACTGGGTCCTCAGTTTACCTACCTTAGAAAGGATGGAAGGCTGAGTCAACCTTGAGCCTGGTAAGATTCGAACCTGCAGTAATTGCAGGCAGCTGTGTTAATAACAGGGTGCTTTAGACCACTGTACTACCAGGGCTCTTGGTATATAATAAATTCATGTTAATTTCTTTCCTTGAAGGACCATTAGGCTAACCATGGTATAATATTCCTGGCAGGCTGTTTCCATAATCAGCTTATTTCATTCCTTCACTTGCTACAGAAGGATGCTGTTATCTCACTCAACATGACTTGGCAATGGTCTACCTGTGCGCTTTGCAACCCATAATAACCGAAGCCAAGATGGCAAGCCATGATTTTACTAAAAGAAGCATCACACAGAATTTGTCAAACCAAGCGTGTTCTAAATTCTTTTCCACCCAATAAAACCAGAAAGGTCATTATTGCAAAAACCAGACAAAATATACCACGGTTAAGGAGGGAATTAGGGACGCGGTGGATCAGTGGCCAAGAAGCTGAGCTTGTCAGTCGAAAGGTCGGCAGTTCAGCGGTTCGAGTCCCTAGTGCCACGTAACGGGGTGAGCTCCCGTTACTTGTCCCAGCTTCTGCCAACCTAGCAGTTTGAAAGCAGGTAAAAAAATGCAAGTAGAAAAATAGGGACCACCTTTGGTGGGAAGGGAACAGCGTTCCGTGCGCCTTTGGCGTTGAGTCGTGCTGGCCACATGACCATGGAGACGTCTTCGGACAGCGCTGGCTTTTCAAGCTTTGAAACGGAGATGAGCACCGCCCCCTAGAGTCAGGAACGACTAGCACGTATGTGCGAGGGGAACCTTTACCTTTTACCCTTAGGAGGCAATGCTCATATCATTTGTTGAAGTCAATATGTCATTTTGTAAGCTGCCTTGAGTCCCTAGGGAGAAAGGCGGCATATAAATCGCAATAATAAATAAATAACTATTATTTGTTAAAAGTCAATATCTTCTGAAACCCACTGGTTGCTTATCCAAGTGATGTTATGGTGATACACCTTATATTTCTGAAAAGGCTGCTATTACCAGTCACCTTCCAAGTACTTTGAAAAAGATTTATCGCCTTGTTAACCTGAGCTGTACATAATAATTAGGTGTGTGTTTTGTTGCTGTGGATTTATTGACGTGATGCTGGGTACAAACCAACTTCCTTTCCAGGGTATTTGTGTTGTATTTATGTATTTGTGTGCTTGATGCCTTAAAGCACTAACCCAGAGGTGAAATCCAGCAGGTTCTGACAGGTTCCGGAGAACCGGTAGCGGAAATTTTGAGCAGTTCGGATAACCGGCAAATACCACCTCTGGCTGGTCCCAGAGTGCGGTGGGAATGGAGATTTTGCACTACCCTTCCCCCAGGAGTGGGGGGGGGGAATGGGGATTTTGCAGTATCCTTCCCCTGCCACTCCCACCAAGCCACACCACGCCCACCAAGCCACGCCCACAGAACCGGTAGTAAAAAAAAATTGGATTTCACCTCTGCACTAACCACTGTTCTACTGTATTTCTTATTACTTTATTTTTATCCTCAGATCAGGCAGCAATTATAAATAACATAACTGCAGCTCTTCCTATAACTTAGAGCTTATCTTAAATTCATACATATCAGCTTTTTAAAATAATGCATTATTCTATGCCTATGTTTTCCCTTATAAAATAGGAATGCATTATAAGACTTGAATGGCATGTTGTCCAAAAAATCAAAGGGGGGAAAAAAATCAAGATTGATTTTGTAGGGGTGAAAGGGAGATTTAAAATACCTAGATTACTCCTTAATCTCCCCAAATTTCTGCAGAAATTTTAAAAAATGGGGATAATACCTAGATTATCCCTTAATCTCACCAAATTCTCACCAAATTTCCCCATAAATAAAAAAGAAAATGGGGATAATCAAATATTTGAAGTTACCCAACCCTTACACACTGTTCTTCAATGAAGACGATCTCAGATTTTTTTAACTCTGTGGACTCTCTGAAAGGCAAGTCTGAAAAAGAGAGGAAAGTTCCAGGCAACCTATGGGGATGATTCACTGTGGAAAACGGACAGCATAACTCTAATCGGAGTTTTCCATTAACACAGTGTCTCCCATGGTGGCTCTGTATATAAGTATATAAGTTTTAAGTGCTATTGCTATTCCTTCCTTCCTTCCTTCCTTCCTTCCTTCCTTCCTTCCTTCCTTCCTTCCTTCCTCCCTCCCTCCCTTCCTTCCTTCCTTCCTTCCTTCCTTCCTTCCACCACCCTCCATCCATGGTGCACAGTGGTTAGAACACAGTATTGCAGGCTGACTCTGCCCACTGTCAGCAGTTCGATCTTGACTGGCTCAAGGTTGGCTCAGCCACCTATCCTTCCGAGGTTGGTAAAATGAGGACCCAGATTGTTGGGGGACAAGAGGCTGACTCTGTAAACCGCTTAGAGAGGGCTGTGAAAGCACTCCGAAGCGGTATATAAGTCTAAGGGCTGAATAGCACTTGGCAATATCATTAGCAGTATGCTATTATGCAATAGCCATAGCATAATAGCAATAGCAATATCATTGCTAGCAATATGCCTATAGCAGATTGTGACATTCAACCCAAGAGTCCAGAAATGGCTCAAGAGAAGCTATTACAGCTTTTTTTTTTTTAAAGATTTATGAGGTTTGGGAACATGAGAAGAATTGGAACTTTGCCACCTAATTGACTTTGTTTTTTCATCTTTTCTTTCTAAATAACAGATGGTTGACCCTACCTTAGCAGAAATGGGAAAGAATCTCAACGAGGCCATGAAGCTGCTTGAAGACAATCAAAGGTATTTAATAGTCTTGCCTTGGCAGAGTTTCAAGAGGATTGCTGCTAATAATGGTGCTTGTAGATCCTGTTTTGGGTGAAATATATATACTTCAGTCAGTCAGACTAGAACTGGAAGAACCTCCAGTGATGAAGCATCCACAACTTCTGGAGTCAAGCTGTTCTCCTTGTTAATTGTCCTCACCGTTAGGAAGTTTCTCCTTAATTCCAGGTTGCTTCTCTCCTTGGTTAGTTTCCATCCATTGTTTCTTGTCTTGCTTTCTGGTGCTCTGGGAAATAAGTTGACCCTCTCCTCTTTGTGGCAACCTCTCAGATACTGGAATACTGCTCTCATGTCTCACCTAGTCCTTCTTTTCTTTAGATTAGCCAAACCCAAATCCTGCAGCTATTCTTCATATGGTTTAGTCTCTAGGCCTTTTAATCATCTGACATCAGTCTGACATAGCCAAACTGCACCCTGCTTCTGATTGGCAGGGCTCATTTAACCCCAAGCTAGAAGCCAAAAGACAATAATAAACTTGCTGTTAGTTGTGAACTCGTGTCCGACTCATCGCGACCCCATGGACAACGTTCCTTCAGGCCTTCCTGTCCTCTACCATCCCCCAGAGTCCATTTAAGCTCACGCCGACTGCTTCAGTGACTCCATCCAGCCACCTCGTTCTCTGCCGTCCCTTTCTTCTTTTGCCCTCAGTCATTCCCAGCATTAGGCTCTTCTCCAGGGAGTCCTTCCTTCTCATTTAGGTGGCCAAAGTATTTGAGTTTCCTCTTCAGGATCTGGGCTTCTAAAGAGCAGTCAAAGTTGGTCTCCTCTAGGACTGACCAGTTTGATCGCCTTGCAGTCCAAGGGACTCCCAAGAGTCTTCTCCAGCACCAGAGTTCAAAGGCCTCCATTCTTTGGCGCTCAGCCTTCCTTATGGTCCAACTTTCACAGCCATCCATTGCAACTGGGAAAACCATCGCCTTGACTATACTCACTTTTGTTGGCCGGGTGCTTTTTAGTAAGCCATCTAGATTTGCCATAGCTTTCCTTCCCAGGAGTAAGCATCTTTTAATTTCTTGGCTGAAGTCCCCATCTGCGAGCCCAGGAAAATAATAAACCAGAGTTTGTTATTGTTTATTGAGTGTATTGATAATGAACCACAGTTTATTGAGGGGTGGCTGTCTTCCCCCACCTCTAAATAATGCTTATCAAGGTACAATTAAACGTGGAGATGGACAGGTAGGAGAGATAACTAAGAGCCCTGTGGTTTTTTTAAAAAAATATGAAAATTGACTGAAAGGCTAGAGCAAGTAACAGGAGGAATCCTGTTTTCCTGCTTGTGGAAAGTGATTGTGATGAAGAAAGGACAGAATTGACCAACTCTTCCTCCTCATCTTAATGAAATGTGATTGGAGCTGGCCAAAATATGAAATTTACATCTGGAGCCATGCAGATAAGACAAGATAAAACCTCTGTGGTTCTAATTCTGGGCCAAAGCTAAATGTAATATTAAGGATTCTTTCTTCCTTCCTTTCTTCTTTCCTTCCTTCCTTCCTTCCTTCCTTCCTTCCTTCCTTCCTTCCTTCCTTCCTTCCTTTCTTTTTCTTTTTTGTTTTTCTTCCTTCCTTCTTTCCTTCCTTCTTTCTTTTTTCTTCTTTCCTTCCTTCCTTCCTTCCTTCTTTCTTTCTTCTTTTTCTTCCTTTCTTCCTTCCTCCCTCCCTCCCCCTCCCTCTTTCTTTCTTTCTTTTTTCCTTCCTTCCTCTTTCTTTCTTTCTTTCTTTCTTTCTTTCTTTCTTTCTTTCTTTCTTTCTTTCTTTCTTTCTTTCTTTCTTTCTTTCTTTCTAATTATATGCCGCCCATCTCACTCTTGAAGCAATTCTGAGTGGCTAAGGATGTCCCTTGGCAGTTGCACCAAACTTAGCTTTTTTGAAAAGTAAATGTTAAACTGTGTTCACCCAACGCAGTAACCCACCAACCAGTCCCCCTAGAATTTATTCTAGCATGATGTGTGAATCCAACTTCTCTAGTGACGGAGGCTGCAACGTGTCTTCTCACCCAGCGAACTAGGTTAATGACGTCAGCCTAAGTTACATCACCACAGCTAAGCAGTCACGCTTAGAGTTTAAACACGCTTAGAGTTTAAAGTTTAAACAGCCGATGGCATATGATAGATACTTCCTTATTCATATACAGATTTTTTTTCTTGCCTGGCCTATTGTTGGGAGAGAGAGAGAGGGAGAAAGGATAATTTTGGTTTTACGTGTTCCTGTGAAAATTATGCAAAGCTGGTTTTAAAAGAAAGCAGAAAAGTTATTCAGAGGTCAGGATGACATTTCCTCTTATGAATTGACGGGATCTGCTTTGCTTTTGATAAGACAGATGAGTCATCCTTTGATTAGGGCAGTGCACAATGGGACAAATAAATAAATAACAGTGCCCGACGAATGTTGTTTTGGCATGGAAATTTTTTTTTTAACCTGTCATTTCATTAAAAGGGATCAGATTTAGCCTTCTGCCAGCCATGTAGCTAATCCAATGTGGCTCTTTGGAACGAAATCCAGCTGTAGCAGAAAATATATATTGCCCAACCTGTCACCAATTCCTGCTGTTTTGTGTTAAAATTAGGAAAGTTGAAGAAGAAAATGAAAAGAACTACACAAGAAAGGATATTCCTGGGCCGCTTCAAGGCAGGTAAATGACCCAGAATTAGGAGTTTTTCCTCTCTGTTTATATTGGGTTTTCCCCCCACCCACCCAACTAATAACTTGGGTATTTTGATTTTGGGGAATTGGAGCTGGGGGGGAAGAGAATAATCTGAATTCGTTTGCCAAATCACATGATGTTGGTAACTGATAGCCACAATAATTGTCATCAATGCGATGTGTGATTGTTGCTAACATTGGGGCAAATGGATCATTGGTTTGTGTAAAGCTGAAGAGGCCATCGGGGCAACTGACTCCAATTCCGTGCTCAATACAACCGTCTAAATCGGCGTTTCTCCGTCTTCATTTATTTTATTTCGTTTTCTATATCAAACTTCTTAGCCGCCCATCTCCCTCATAAAGGGGTTCTTAGAAACTTTCAGATGGGTGGACTTCAACTTGCCGTGGTTGTTAAGCAGATCAGGATTATTGCCTGGACTTTTCGGTGCGTGAATGCCATTAATTCACAGGAGATAAATAAAGAGGGGTTTTTCTGGACAAAGAGTCTGTTTCTTGTTTCTGCTAAGGCTGTATCAGAACAGTGCCCTCGTAACTTTGAACAGTCACTAAACAAATGATTGTAAGTCGAGGACTTACCTATATTAAGCGTGTCCACTTTAAAGTCATCTAATGCCTTGTGATGGGTGAAATGCTTCCGGTTTGGACCGGATTGCCCGATCCGGTAGCGATGGAGGCGGGTGGTTTGGAGAACTGGTAGCAAAAATCCCTGCCCCCCCCCCATGCCCAGCTGAGCTACACGATCATCAGACGCTTTTTCTTTTAATTTTTAAAAGCATTTTTTCTACAACCTCTTCCGCCGAAAAAATGCTTTTAAAAGTAAAAAAAAAAAGCCTCTGATGATCGCGCAGCTCAGCTGGGATCGTCAAAGGGATCGTCAGAGCCTTTTGAAAGCATTTTTTTACAACCTCTTCGCTGAAGAGGTTGTAGAAAAGATGGTTTTAAAAGGGGGGAAAATTGGCCACGCCCACCCAGTCACATTACCCACCACCACCACCAAGCCACGCCCACAGAATCGGTAGAAACAAATTTTAGATTTCACCACTGCCTCATAACCAAGATGGATTTGTGTTTCTCTCCTTCCCTCCAGCGGACAGGACATGGTGAGCATTCTCCAGCTGGTTCAAACTCTAATGCACGGCGATGAAGAAGAAGAATCACTACAGTCTTATCGGTAACTCTTCGTTGAATAGAGATCTGTCGAGGTTGTGGAAAGGGCTGGAGGTGTCCGGCCCAAAGAATCAGGACCACACATTAAGTTCTACTTAAGATGCATTGCTCACGAGAGCATTCTGTACACAAGAATCTAGTCAATGAAGAGTCAACCCTAAATTACTGCTAAACAAGAGTCAGCAGAATTCAATAGAGATTGGATTTATACCAAACCTCCATCTAGCCGGGCTGGCTTGATCCCATCCTCTCAGTTTTTAATTGAATTTGGTTTTAATTGGGTTGTTTTAAACTTGGGCCAAAATTATTTAATTGTTTTTTAAAGTGTTTTTTAAATTTTATATGCTATGTTTTATCTTGGCTGTACACCGCCCTGAGTCCCGCAGGAGAAGGGCAGTATAGAAATAAAATAAAATAAATAAATAAATACCATTTGTGGACACGTAATGATTCTAGGCTGAGTACTTTCTTGACTCCGCCTCCCAGGTTGTATCTCTTCTTCTCTTACAGAAGGATGAGTTTTGCTCATGCTTTTTAGGACCCAAAGTCATTATCTTTCAGATTCTCTCTAAACATATAATATACCTAGTACCTTGCTCTTTTTAAAATATTCCCTAAAAAAGCATGCTTAAAGCAAAATCTAAGGAAATCGGGTTTTGCAAATATTCTTATGCCTTGGGTGGATGGGAGGAACTCCCAGCATCATTCAGAAGATTAAAGTGATGTCAAATTGGTGGAAGCTCCTGCTTTCTGATCTACAGGTTTGATTTCCTGCTTCTCAGGAAAAAAAAATTAATGGTAGGCAATGTTGATGACCTTTGTAAACATAAAAAAATTAACTATTAAGGAAGCAATTTAAGGAAGTGGAAAAACTAGCCAGAAAAAGTTTGAAGGTTGACATTTCCAGGTGACAGAGAAACTGAAGTCTATAATTAAGTGTTCTCTTGAAAAAAAAAAGATCTTTTTTTTTTACCTTGATATTTTATTTTATTATTATTTTTTGGTAATATTTTTATTGTACATTTTTCTTTGTTTTTTAATCACAGTTTCAACTTTGCAACAATGATATACTGGTTATATGAGCAATTTTTTACAATATACATACTATTATATCTCTTAGTTACGACCATTTAACTCTTATTTAGACAGTATCATGTTTATATCTATCGTTTCCATGATTCTAACGTAGATCTCTATATATTTATCATTCCATGTCTTTTAATTTACACTTTTGTATTGTATAGTCTTGCCATAGTATTGCTTACAATAAGTATTCTCCTATCTATCATTATACTTGTATTTATTTCTGGTTCATTGATTGTCTTTCATCATTGTTTGTTTGTTTATTTAAATTTATATACCGCCCTTCTCCCGAAGGACTCAGGGCGGTGTACAGCCAAATATAATTGATTTTCTAATCTTGGCATCTACTATCTAACCAGTTATAGCATATGTCCCAGATTGAATAATATTCTGTTTCTCCTTTGTCTTTAATTTCCATCGTCAACCTGTCCATTTCGGCGCAATCTCGTATTTTCTTTATTACCATTTCCTCTGTGGGCATATTTCCATTTTTCCAGTTTTGTGCATACATAATTCTAGCCGCTGTTATTACATGTAGCATTAAGTACTGATTTATTTATTTTTTATATTTCCCTGTTAATATGACCTTTAGGAGTCACCAGAGGAGGGAAACCATCAAGCCAATAATGGCTCAAAAATCAGGTTAAAATCCAATCTGCAACATACAGTGGATTGGATTTTAACTTGGTCTTAAGCCAACACCAGCTCGAACAGCTGTCTAATCACTCTTTCCGACCGAAAATAAATACCGCTTAATTATAATACATCCAGTAAAATGCCCCTTGATCATTTTTTGATATATTAGGAAAGGCTTTTCTCAGTCTACAAAGAGAAGTGTGATTTGTGTCATGGCCTCTCTCTCTCTCTCTATCTATCTCTCTCTCTCTCCCCCCCCCCCCAATTTTCAGGCTACAGAATGTGGGGGAACAGGGACACATGGCTCTCTTAGGACACAGCTTGGCAGCTTATATTTCCATCCTGGACAGAGACAGACTGAGAAAACTTACCACCAAAATCCTTTCTGACACAACTCTGTGGCTCTGCAGGCTCTTCAGGTACCCTTGTGTTGCTAATACTTCTGAGTGTGCCCTTTATCATGAAAGAAAGTCCCATTTAATCTAAACATTCAGAAACCAATTAGGAAAACAATAGGCTACTTTTACTGTCATTATTATTATTATTATTATTATTATTATTATTATTATTATTATTATTATTATTATTATTATTCTATGGCAGGGATGTCAAACACAATTTCATTGAGGGCCGCACAGTGATGGGTTCCTCCCGGTTTGGCCCGGTTTGGCTGAGCCGGTAGTGGTGACGATATGACGTCACCGAACCGGTTCTCTTTGTTCGAGAACTGGGCCCTCCCGTCCCCCCGCCCCCATTATTCTTACCTTTTATTTGGCCCCGCCCCCAATCTATTCGCTGCCTCCCGAGTCCCAGCTGATCGGCTAGAAGGAAAAAAAACTGTTTAAACTCTTGCCGCGGGGCTTCAAAGGGCCGTCTCCCCACCGAAGTGGTACCTATTTATATACTCGCATAGAACATGCTTTTGAGCTGAGGCAAGTGATGGGAGCTCACCCTGCCAGATAGTGCTAGGACTCAAACCGGCGGAGCTGAGACCATCTCCAGCGTGATTAAGCCGCTGAGCCAGCGTGCTCCTTATTGTCAGTTAATAAGCAGTACGTTCAGTTGGCGATCCACTTTGATGGCATCTCATTCTGCATGTCTATAGCCCCTATTTCTGTGTCTTTTAGCCATGTTAATTATAAGCTTTAATACAGCGTTTTCCTCCCCTCCCCCCCCAAGATTTTTCAGAAGGACCGCTGGGAATAATTGCTTACGCTTAACGTGAAGCACCCTTTCCAAGATGCGCAACATTTAATGCATCATTGCTCTTAAACAGGTTTGAAAATGGGTCAGCCTATTACCATGAAGATGATCGCGACGGGCTTTTGAAAGTCTGCAAGCTGGTGATTCACTCCCGCTATGAAGATTATGCCACCGAAGGCTTTAATGCCTTATATAACAAGCAGCCGATGGTGTACATCAGTGCTGCAGCACGAACCGGCTTGAGCCAATTCCTCTGTAGTCACGTAAGTTGAAAGGGGTGCAGGGTTTTTGGGCCGCAAAATCATCGTTACACCTCTTCGTTTGCTGCCACCGTATAATTCAGTAAACTTCTGTTAATTTCATTGGTCGGTTTGTTTATATTCTACCGTGATTATCTAATACTTCTCCTTCCTCCTGTTTTCTCTACAACAACCCTGTGAGATAAGTTGGGCTAATAGAGAATGACTGGTCTAAGTCACCTAGATGGCTTTCATGGCTAAAATGGGACTAGAACTCCCAGTCTCCTGGCGATTGGACCAAAGTCACCCAGCTGGCTTTTATGCCAAAGGCGGGACTAGAACTCCCAGTCTCCTGGTGAGTGGCCCAAAGTCACCCAGCTGGCTTTCATGCCAAAGGCGGGACTAGAACTCCCAGTCTCCTAGTGATTAGTCGAAAGCCACCCAGCTGGCTTTCATGCCAAAGGCGGGACTAGAACTCCCAGGTCCCTAGTGATTGGTCGAAAGCCACCCAGTTGACTTTCATGGCTAAGGCAGGACTAGAATTCACAGCCTCTAGACATTGGCCCAAAGTCACCCAGCTGGCTTTCATGCCTAAGGCGGGACTAGAACTCACCATCTCCTGGCCATTGGCCCAAAGTCACCCAGCTGGCTTTCATGCCCAAAGCGGGACTAGAACTCCCAGTCTCCTAGTGATTGGCCCAAAGTCACCCAGCTGGCTTTCATGCCTAAGGCGGGACTAGAACTCACCATCTCTTGGTGATTGGCCCAAACTCACCCAACTGGTTTTCATGCCTAAGGCGGGACTAGAACTCACAATCTCCTGGCGATTGGTCCAAAGTCACCCAGTTGACTTTCATGGCCAAAGCCAGACTAGAACTCCTGGTGTCTTGCTTTCTAGCCCAGTGCCTTACCCACTAGCGGAAACCGGCTTTCTTAATCAGTTGTACCTGTAATCCTCTTATGAGTGAAGTGTTTTAGTTTAAAATCACGGTAGGCTACAACCAAAGAGATGGAAATGGTCAATGCCCTGGCTGACGCTGAGATGATGCCCTTCGTACTTATCGCTCATTGCAGAGAGTTTAAACTAAACCAAAAACTCACCTCTTTGAAATATTCTGAACCTCTTCAATACAGCTGTACAGACCTCCCGTAAGCTGTTCGTAAATCTTTTTTTTTTTTTACTGTGGCCCAAAGGAAAATTATTATATAATCAGTATAATTGTGGGGAGGGGGTCCGTAGTAACTTTGAACGGTTGCTAAGCAACCGGCCATAAGTCAAGGACCACCCTGGATTTTGTATCTCTTTCTGCAGCTTGGCTTACCTCTTTCCTCCATGTGCCGAGTGCCGTGTAACACGATGTTTGGCTCCCAGCATCAAATGGTAAGGTTTGTTTACTTTTTAAAAAATTATTATTAGGTAAAGGTAAAGGTTCCCCTCGGGCATATGTGCTAGTCGTTCCCGACTCTAGGGGGCGGTGCTCATCTCCGTTTCAAAGCCGAAGAGCCAGCGCTGCCCGAAGACGTCTCGGTGGTCATGTGGTCAGCATGACTCAACGCCAAAGGCGCACGGAACGCTGTGACCTTCCCACCAAAGGTGGTCCCTATTTTTCTACTTGCATTTTTTTACCTGCTTTCGAACTGCCGGGTTGGCAGGAGCTGGGACAAGTAACGGGAGCTCACCCCGTTACGCGGCACTTAGGGATTTGAACTGCTGAACTGCTGACCTTTCGATCGACAAGCTCAGCGTCTTAGCCACTGAGCCACCGCTTCCCTTTTATTATTATTACAAAAACAGAAAAGAGTAAGTCTAGCGTCGCCTATTTTTATGCTTTCTTCATGTTATTCCCTTTTATTTTTTTCTCCTTTATTTCGCTCGGCGATAGGATGTCGCTTTGTTGGACAGACTGATCAAGGAGGACCTGGAATCTGGAAAGCTGCCTATATTACTGGTGGCCAATGCTGGTGGGTGTTTTTATTTTTTAGCAAATATAAACAAGCTGTTTGTTTTTCTTTCTGCAAACTACCGGTTCTTCGGGTGAACCGGTAGTTTAAAAAGCTGGTTTCCGACGATCAGCTGTGCGGTGCAGTTTAGCTTTGCTAGAAAGCAAGCAATCCTGCTTTCTAGCGAAGTTAAATCATGCAGCACAGCTGATTCCTTTCCCCCCCTCGCTGTTCTACTTACCTTCCCAAGCCTCCATTTGGTGCGCGTACGCGGCCAGCGAACCGGTAGCAAACCGGCTCAGATTTCACCACTTGGGTTTTGTCCCGTAACAAATGTTAGTAAGTCATGGAGGAAGCAAAGCGAACGGAGCGAAGTCGAGGCAGAGTACAAAGAGGCATTTTGCAAGAAGACGCTTCCGAGTGGCCCATACGGGAAAGCGAGTCTACTTCCACCCATCAGAAAATGTGATGAGGTTTTGTGTGTGTGTGTGCATGCGAGTCTGTGTTTGAGCGGTGCGGTGGCCTAGAGGTGGAGCTCCCGCCTCACAATCAGGAGGCTGTGAGTTCGATCCTAAGTAGAGGCAGATATTTCTCTCTCTGGGCACGTTGAGAATACCGTGTTTTTCGAACTATAAGACATATCGAAGTATAAGACGCATCAAGATTTCGAAGAGGTAATCAAGAAAAAAAAAAGTTTTTGCCCTCCCCGGCTCCCAGGAGCACTCTGCAGGCCTCCCAAACCCTCTGTGTGTCCCGTATTTGCAAAAAACGTGCCCGTTTTCGTGAAAAATTTGTCCTTTTCTGGCCTCCCAAACCCCCCATGCATCACGTTTTTGCCCTCCCCAGCCCCCAGGAGCACTCTGCAGGCCTCCCAAACCCTCTGCGTGCCCTGTTTTTCCGAAAAACGGGGCCTGTTTTTGGCAAAAACAGGACGCACGGGACGGGGTTTTCGGGAACCAAAAATGGTTGTATTCGGTATATAAGACGCACCAACATTTCCACCCTCTTTTATTGATGTGGGGGGGAAGTGCGTCTTATACTCCGAAAAGTACGGTATATCTGCTGAATATAACTCCACATTGGCGACAGGAAGGGCATCCGGCCAGGAAACACTCAGCTCCATTCAGCTGCCCAAACTCCACCCCGCAAGGGATTATGGGGTCGTTAAAAGAGGAGGATGATAATGATGATGTGAGTCTGTGTTTGTGTGTGTGCAGCAGGGGTGGGTTCTAATTTTTTTTACAACCGGTTCTGTGGGCGTGGCTTATTTTGTGGGTGTGGCTTGGAGGTCATGTGACTAGGTGGGCATGGCTAGCTGGACAGAGTCATTTCTGGAAGGTCCTCGCACTTACGACCAGTCCTCACACTTACGACCCGACTCATTTGTTTGCTTTTAACACTGATCAGCTGTAGGGCGGCCCTTTGAAGCCCTGCGGCAAGAGTTTAAACAGTTTTTTCCCCTCTAGTCATCAGCTGGGACTCAGGAGGCAGCAATAGATTGGGGGTGGGACCAAATAAAAGGTAAGAATAACGTGGGGGGAAGGGCGGGGGGGGAGAACCGGTTCGGTGACGTCATATCGTCACCGCTACCGGCTCGGCCGAACCAGGAGGAACCCACCACTGGTGTGCAGTATGAAGTAGTTGGTATCGTTGGTGCATCGCTCCTTTCTCTACTGTGGTGGAATGAGCGGATGGCCTTGAGGAACGAGAGGGGAAGAAATACTAACTAGGAAACAATTAGGGGAGAGCAATTCCCATGGGGAAGGAGAAGGGTTGACCGGGAGTGATGGGGGGGCCTGTCTTCCGAAACATTAGAAGTGCTTTGTGGTTGTTCCTCTCTGTCTTAATCGCTCTGTCTTCTTAGCCTCCCGTTGTCTGTTTCCTCTCCGTGCAGGCACCCCGGGGGCAGGGCACACAGACAAACTCAGTCGACTGAGGGAACTCTGCGAGGAACACGGCATGTGGCTCCACGTCGAAGGGTACGTTAGAAAACCCGCGTTTTAGATGAAATGTTAAATCAAGCGAAGGCGAGAAGGGCACTGCTAGTAGGCAGAGAAGCGCTGGTTTCATGCAGATTGAAAAGGTTATCGGGGCAGCTGTCAAAATGATATGCTGGACGGGAAAGGGAATGGAGAGAGGCACTCCTGACGGTGGCAATTTATAATAGTGACAGATTGCGGCTGGCTGGATCCTCGTTCTATTTCATTACGCTGAACACAGATATATTTTAAAAATGGCCTACTTAGAATGCTGGAGTTCTGGAGAGGGACCTTAATACTAAACCTACTCTTCTCCCATTGGGCTACCCACTGGCTTTCATGCCAAAGGCGGGACTAGAACTCCCAGTCTCCTGGCGATTGGCCCGAAGTCACCCATCTGGCTTTCATGCCAAAGGTGGGACTAGAACTCAAAGTCTCCTTGTGATTGGCCCAAAATCACGCAACTGGCTTTCATGCCTAAGGCGGGACTAGAACTCCCACTCTCCTGGCGATTGGTCCAAAGTCACCCCCACTGGCTTTTATGCCTAATACGGGACTAGAACTCACAGTCTCCTGGCGATTGGCCCAAAGTCACCCATCTGGCTTTCATGCCAAAGGTGGGACTAGAACTCAAAGTCTCCTTGTGATTGGCCCAAAATCACGGCAACTGGCTTTCATGCCTAAGGCGGGACTAGAACTCCCATTCTCCTGGCGATGGGCCCAAAGTCACCCCCACTGGCTTTCATGCCAAAGCGGGACTAGAACTCCCAGTCTCCTGATGATTGGCTCAAAGTCACCCCAACTGGCTTTCATGCCTAAGGCGGGACTAGAACTCACAGTCTCCTGGCGATTGGCCCAAAGTCACCCAACTGGCTTTCATGCCTAAGGCGAGACTAGAACTCCCAGTCTCCTGGCGATTGGCCCAAAGTCACCCCCACTGGCTTTCATGCCTTAGGCGGGACTAGAACTCCCAGTCTCCTGGCGATTGGACCAAAATCACCCCCACTGGCTTTCATGCCTAAAGCGGGACTAGAACTCCCAATCTCCTGGCAATTGGCCCAAAGTCACCCAGCTAGCTTTCATGCCTAAGGCAGAACTAGAACTCTCAGTCTCCCAGTTTCTAGCCTGGTGCTTTTACCACCCAGACCAAACTGACTTACCTATTATAAATTGTATTTATTTGTTGGTTGGTTTAAAATGTAATAGAAATCAAAGGTGGTGATTTTATTTATAATTTATTTATAATTAAATTTATATATTTAAGGTGTTATAGTCAGCCTGCTGAAAGGATTTGTTTGTTTTGTTTGTTTCAGGGTGAATCTGGCGACTCTGGCTTTGGGTTACGTCTCTTCTTCCATAATGGTATGTTGGGACCGTTGCTCTTGCTTATTTGCTTGTGGTTCTCTTTATGCAAAAGCAATACATGTGTTTCCTAAAAGCAGAAAGGCGCTATGTATAAATGGTTTAATTTGCTTTCACTATTGTCTATACCAGGGGTTAGCAACCTGCGGCTCTGGAGCCGCATGTGGCTCTTTCACCCCTCTACTGCGGCTCAAAATATGTGTCACAACCGCCAATGTGTGACGCCCGCCGGCATACAATTTATTGAGCTTTTCAACCCCCGGTAGGCCAACTGTGGATAAATCCAAGAAAAGAAAAGTTTCAGAAGAAAACAGAACATTTAATTCAATTACATATGCTAATTTTGTAGCCGCTCAAGAAATAGTCAGGCACGGGAAGGGTTTTTGTGGCTCCCGATGTTTTCTTTTCTGTGGGAAACGGGTCCAAATGGCTCTTTGAGTGTTTAAGGTTTGGTCTATACTTTAAGATGAAAAATAATCATGCGCCTTTTGGGCTCTTAACATGCCCTGAAGGAGGATTATTTTCACCTGCACTTTATTAAAAAAATGTGGTTATCCGCTAGTATTCATCCAACAGATCACGTTTTAAGCTTGGCTGGCAGGCAAACCACTGTCTGTCGTTGCATCTGAGCAAATTTTTTTCACCTATTGCTCTTTCCTATTTTTATTTTATTTTTTTAAATCCTGGTGAGCCATTTTGGATCAGTTTTTCATCCTCTCTGGATTCAGCCATGTCTCATTAAAGGTAAAGGTAAAGGTTCCCCTCACACATATGTGCTAGTCGTTCCTGACTCTAGGGGGCAGTGCTCATCTCCGTTTCAAAGCCAAAGAGCCAGCGCTGTCCGAAGACGTCTCCGTGGTCATTTGGCCAGCATGACTCAACGCCAAAGGCGCACGGAACGCTGTGACCTTCCCACCAAAGGTGGTCCCTATTTTTCTACTTGCATTTTTTACCTGCTTTCGAACTGCTAGGTTGGCAGAAGCTGGGACGAGTCATGGGAGCTCACCCCGTTACGCGGCACTAGGGATTCGAACCGCTGAACTGCCGACCTTTCAATCGACAAGCTCAGCGTCCTAAGCCACTGAGCCACCGCGTCCCTATTAATTGTCAATTACAATAATTAATGTCTCATTAAAATTATTTACAATTAATTATTCATTTCAATTATTAAAATATCATTAAAATTAATTACAATTAATTATCAATTAAAATTATTAATGTCTCATTAAAGAGGCCCCATCTCTCGTTTTTTCAAATGCGTTGAAAAAAAAAACCCTCTGCATTCCCGGTTCCCTAACCCCGCCTTCTTTTTTTGTAGGCCGCAACCAAATGTGACAGCATGACACTGACGCTCGGACCCTGGTTGGGTCTTCCAGCGGTGCCTGCAGTGACTCTCTATAGACAGGAGGATCCTTCATTGGTAGGTGGCTGGTCCATGATATATTGGAGGTTAAGTGGCAGGAGAAGGCAGCCTTGAAGCTCTCTGCAGCTCATGATTGACAGCAGTAAATCGTAGGCGATCATCGCTCAAGGAGTCCAATTGCTTGTGATTCCTTGGGGAGACCCATCATTTATTTATTTATTTATTTTATTGAATTTGTATACCGCCCTACTCCCGAAGGACTCAGGGCGGTGAACAGCCATAGAATAAAACATATAAATACAAAATTTAAAATAGATTAAAACGAATTAAATAATTTGGCTGAACAAATTTAAAACCCCCATAATTTAAAACCGGATTTAAAATTTCCATTTAAAAGGGGAAAGACTTAGGTCAGGCCGGCTTGATGAAATAGGAAAGTCTTGAGCGCGCGACGGAAGGTACCCAGATCCGGGATCCTCCGTATCTCCAGGGGGAGCTCGTTCCAGATAGTAGGTGCCCCCACAGAGAAGGCTCTCCCCCTGGAGGCCGCCAGTCGACATTGTTTGGCCGACGGCACCCGGAGGAGCCCCTCTCTATGGGAGCGTACTGGTCGGTGGGAGGCTATTGGTGGTAGCAGGCGGTCCCGTAAATAACCAGGTCCTAAGCCATGGAACGCTCTAAAGATGATAACCAAAACCTTGAAGCGCACTCTGAAGACTACTGGGAGCCAGTGCAGCTCGTGCAGGAGAGGTGTTACATGGGAGCGCCATGTCGCTTCCGTCACCATCCGCGCGTCATAATTTTTTTTTTTTTATTTTAAACTGGGGTTGATGATGTTTGGACTCTGGATTTGTCTGTGTTGAGAATATGCACCACTCAAGCCAAATTCAGCCCTGTAGTTATATCGTGGAGCAGACCACTTCATAAAAACTTTATCCGCTTTTTGGAAGAGGCTCTAAAAGGGAAGGGAGCTCATTTTGCTGAATATAGGAGAAGGACAGGCAGAGCCTGGGGGGCGGTGTCAAGAGAGCAATCAGCCTAGAATCGTTACGTTCCCACAAATGGTCTAAGCCCAGATCCTCCTGAGTTCCATTGACTCTTACCTAGGACCAATTTAATGCTGGCCATTAGTTGACTAAATTCTTGGGTGAACAGTATTGAATATTGAACAATATTATTGCATGAACAATAAATCAGCTTAACTGGAACTTAATGTGTGATGTCCCGATCCTTCTGACTTGACTTTGGATGATTCTTAAGATGTGCAGTAAAGTGGCAGAGATTTGATCTTCTGAAGTTCTACCTTCCCTGTTGACTTCGCTTTAGGAGGGGGAACTACAGATTTTTTTAAAAAAATTAAATGCATTTTTTTTCTTTCTCTTTGATACTCCTTCTGGTGTGAATTTGAGGCCTAGAAGACCAGTCTTTTAAATCTTGAGTTTCAATGATTTAAATAGTAGGAGAAGATTTCTTGAGGTTTTCATGTTGGCTTCAGCTGGGCATTTCTGTTTTTGGTTCCCCTGCTCCTCTAATCTGTACTGAGTTTTCGAGGTGAGCAGAGGAAAATAAGACAAAACAAGAGGAGGAAAATACATCTGGTGTTTACCTTATTTTTCGGAGTATAAGACTTTTTCTCCCCTAAAAGAGGGTGAAAATTTGGCTGCGTCTTATACACCGAATGTAGCCAAAAACACGAGGCACGGAGGAGGCGATGGTCTATGGCAGTCCCTGCAGCCTGGATAACAGCTGATTGGGGGTATTCCGGGAAACCAATCCACCCACCAATCAGCTGCTTGTGCTGAATCAGCTGCAATAATGTGCTAAAGCTGACCTGGCTGTTTGCTATTTGCTGCAAGGACTGTCAGAGTTTGCAGTAGCAAGCAAAACACAAGCAGAGGAGAGGAGTTTCAGTTTCAGTTTTAGTTTCAGAGATCAGCACAACATGCAGCTTTAGAACAATTGATCTAAACCACGCCCAGGCTCCTTGCTGTCTCCTTCCTTGTTGTTCACACAGTAAATAACTGTTTCAGTTTCCAAACAGTCTCACACACTGACAGGACACTAGCCAGATGAATACCGATGGATGCTGGTAGAAATTTTTGTATCCAAAAAATACAGTACTTCTTTCTTGAATTTCTTGCAGTCATTAGCAGCAGGCCTGACCTCCAGCCAGGTGGTAGAGAAACTGCGTGCTTTGTCCCTCTGGCTCTCCTTGCAGTATCTTGGCCATGATGGAATCGTGCAAAGAATTAAACATGCCTCCCAGCTGGTAAGAAGCTCAAACTGGTTTGAGTTTTGTCTCTTGATTTGATTCCTTCTCAGAACCTGGGAACCTCGGATTTATGGGCACAAAAAAACCTTGTTCCTTCTCTTCCAAAAGTGGGAGAGAAAGCGGAGTGTCCAAAAAACAGTGTTTCTCAACCTTGACAATTTGAATATGTCTGGACTTCAACTCCCAGAATTCCACAGCCAGCTGGGAGTTGAAATCCACGCATTGTGCCAAGTTGCCAAAGTTGAGAAACAACGTTGTTGACGCTCTAAAGCTGGCTGGGGAATTCTGGGAGTTGAAGTCCAGACATCTTGGAAGTTTGCCAAAATTGAGAATAGTAAAATCATGCGAAAGCATTTTTGGACGTTGAAAGGTTAGTGTATCTCAATATCACAGTTTGATTGGAATGCATCGTTTAACATTTTATGTAAATGTAGACCACCTGATACCCAAGCGCTGTGGTGGCAGAGTGGTTAGTTAGTATTGCAGTATTGCAGGCTAATTCTGCCGACTGCTAGCAGTTCGATCCTGACCGGCTCAGAGTTGACTCAGCTTTCCATCCTTCTGAGGTCGATAAAATGAGGACCCAAATTGTTGAGGGCAAGAGGCTGACTTTGTAAACCATTTAGAGAGGGCCGTAAAACCCTGTGAAGCAGTATATAAGTCTTAAGTGCTATTGCTCGTTTTCTCCTTCCTTCCTTCCTTCCTTCCTTCCTTCCTTCCTTCCTTCCTTCCTTCCTTCCTTCCTTCCTTCCTTCCTTCCTTCCATAGAAATAAAATTATCCTTATCCTTATCCTTATCCTTATCCTTATCCTTCCTTCCTTCCTTCCTTCCTTCCTTCCTTCCTTCCTTCCTTCCTTCCTTCCTTCCTTCCTTCCTTCCTTCCTTCCTTCGTGCACAGTAGTTAGAATGCAGCATTGTCTGCTCACAGCCAGGAGTTCAATCTTGACCGGCTCAAGGTTGCCTCAGCCTTCCATCCTTCTGAGGTCGATAAAATGAGGACCCAAATTGTTGAGGGCAAGAGGCTGACTTTGTAAACCGTTTAGAGAGGGCCGTAAAACCCTGTGAAGCAGTATATAAGTCTTAAGTGCTATTACTCGTTTTTTCCTTCCTTCCTTCCTTCCTTCCTTCCTTCCTTCCTTCCTTCCATAGAAATAAAATTATCCTTATCCTTATCCTTATCCTTATCCTTCCTTCCTTCCTTCCTTCCTTCCTTCCCTTCCTTCCTTCTTCCTTCCTTCCTTCCTTCCTTCCTTCCTTCCTTCCTTCCTTCGTGCGCAGTAGTTAGAATGCAGCATTGTCTGCTCACAGCCAGGAGTTCAATCTTGACCGGCTCAAGGTTGCCTCAGCCTTCCATCCTTCCGAGGTCGGTAAAATGAGGACCCAGATTGTTGGGGGACAAGATAGGCTGACTCTGTAAATCACTTAGAGAAGGCTGTAAAGCACTATGAAGCGGTATATAAATCTAAGTGCTACTGCTTTTGCTACCCATTTACTTCTGGAGTGGTTTCCCTGATTTTATTTATTTGATTTTTTTTTAGAGTCAACGGCTACTGGAGAACCTGAAGAACCAAGATTTTATTCGAACCTCAGTACGTTTCCATTTTCAACCTTTTCTTTTCCAAAATACAATCCCCCCGCCAAAAAAAAAAAATGACCCAGTTTGGGGGATGGTTGATTTAAATATCCTCTCAAGACTTCGTTCTATTTTTTCCAAATTTTGTTTTCAAAGGTTGAAGATGAATTTAGCTCTCCTGTGGTGGTATTCAAGTTTTCTCCAGAGAAGTCGCATATAGGTGAGGACTGCAGAAGGAAAGCCCCTCGGGATCCATAGATCCAGGGGTGGGGCTGCTGGGGGTTCGCAGGGGTTCGGGAGAACCTCTGGCTAAGATTCTGTGCAGTTCGGAGAACCCCCAAATCCTACTCCTGGCCCCGCCCCGCCCACCCCACCCTGCCCCTCCCAGGAGTCCTCGCGCGGCCTGTTTTGGATGCAGATAAGTGCAGGGTGCGCACAGAGACTCGGGGAGAGAGAAAAACAGGCCTACCGGAAGTTCAGGAACGCCAGCCTCCAGAGGGCCTCCAGAGCCTGGGGAGGCCATTTTCACCCTCCCAGAGACTCGAGGAAAGCCTCCGGAGCCTGGGGAGGGCAATACTGCCCACCCCCGGTGGTGCAAGAGGCCAATTAGGCCACGCCCACCATGTCCACGCCCACCCAGCAACCGGTCAGAGAACCCCTTGCTAAAATTTTTGAAGCCCACCCCTGCATAGACCTTTATTTTGTTGAAAAATATTAATTTTATTGATAATCTACTCTCATGGATACTGCCGCTTTTAGCGTCAGCGAGCGAGAAAAGCAGACCCTTATGAGAAAGGACTTTTTTTTTTTATCTTGCTAATTTTAGGTTCTAGCTTTCTTTAAAAAGGATATTTAAGATGCTGTATTTATTTATTTTTTTACATTTATTAAAGACAAATCTTGGAATTACTACCTAATCCATTGCTTTTGAAAAATTCTATAAATGACAGGCTTCTGTCTGATAGGATGACATCCATTCTTCACGTGAGCAAATTTTGTCACATATATCTGCAGGAAAATCAGGGCTGTATGCGTTTAAAATCCCATATTATTTGATTGATTTATTGATTAAATGTATACGCTGCCTACCCGTCGCATAGATCCGTGATGGCGAACCAATGGCATACGTGCCACAGGTGGCACGCGTAGCCATATCAGAGGGCACACGAGCTCAGCTCCGGCACACGTGCGTGCCGGCCAGCTGATTTTCGGGCCTTCTGGGCCCACTGGAAGTAGGGAAACAGGCTGTTTTCTCCCTCCAGAAGGCCTGGGGTGGTGGTGGGGAAGGCCCGTTTTTCCCTCCCTCCAGCCTCCAGAGCCTTTCTAGGACCTTGGGGAGGGCGAAAATAGCCTGCCACACTCCCCCCCTCGCCCCCGGAGGTCCTCCGGAGGCAGGAAATGGGACCGGAAGTTGGCAAATGGGCCATTTCCTGCCTCTGGGGATGGGGTGGGGAAGGGAGTTTTGCCCTCCCCAAGCTCCTAGAAAGGTTCTGGAGCTTGGGGAGAAAGAAAAACGGGCCACCGCGTACCATGAGCAGGGGGGAGGGAGGGGGGTTCACGCGCGTATGCGTGGGGGCGGGCCGCACATGCAACCTTCCCCCCCCTCCCGTTCCTGGCACGCGATGGCAAAAAGGTTCACCATCACTGGCATCATTAGAATATTACTTTAATAAGCAGTGTATCAACATTTTGAAATCTGTAAAGTAAGAATTAAACCTTGTCATCTTAACTTGCATAAAAAATAACTGGAAAAAAACTCTACCTGTTGAGGGGGAAAAAGTGTTTCTAACGGCTTCAAATGATGGGAGTTTCACTCGTGCCATGTTCATTTCTTCCTGCTAAATCAATTTCTCTTCTTTTTCTTTTCTGGAGTTCAGATCAGATGCTATACGCGGCACAACCGTCTGCGGTCACCGGGAATGAGAGGGACGTTTGCGATACCTTTAACCAGTGGGTAGGTATGGTTGTTTCTTAACAGCGTGTAAATCACAAGTTTGGGGCTCAAATCCTAATTTCTTCAGGGGTGAAAAATAACCCAGTGCAAGCCTGTCGGATCCATTGATGGTTTCGATGAATGGGCATCGAAACTTTCTCAAACTTTCTGAAAAGAACGTTCAAATGTTACTTAACCACACAAAGGAACAGTATTTCAGTAGATATGCTGTCAGGGTTCCGACGGATGCCCTAATTAAATCATGTGCCTCGAGCCAAGCTTCAAAAGAAATCCAATTATTTATTAGGAGCTTCATGTTGGCACGTTCCCAAATGAAGCCAACTCTGACCCCACGTAATTTACAGCCCAATCTTGACCCTATTCCCCCCCTCCCCCCCAGGGTGTGTCATCAGTCATATTCGCCAATGGAGCAATTTCACAGGTTGTAGAGATCACTCCCCGCCGGCTGCTGTGGGTAACCCTGGGAGACAGCCTTGAGAGAGATATGTCAGGAATGTGCTTTTGTTTTTGGCTGCCGTGCTGCTTCACCGGTTCCCCATCCCGCTTTCCTATGGCAACTCGAGAGCAGTCCAGGGATGCTTTGCGAGTTGACATATGCTTTGACTTATAGGCTTTACTGGGACACCAGTTCCCTCCATGCAACTAGGGCAGAGATATATGATTTAGGAAGTATTCAATGGCAAGGATGCAAAATGCGATTATAGTCTTCAACTTACAAATTTCATTTAGTGGCTGTTTGAAATTACAACAGCACGAAAAAAGTGACTTACGACCGTATTTAACACTTTATGACCATTGCGGCATCCCCATGGTCACATGATCAAAATTCAGACGCTTGGCAGCTGATTCGTATTTATGACAGTTGGCAGTGTCCCATGATCAACACTTATGACCTTTCTGATGAGCAAAGTCGCAGGGGAAGTCAGGCTCACTTAACAACCACTCTACCAATTTAACAACGGCAGTGATTCGCTTAACAGCCGTGGCAAGAACGGTCGTAACATGGGTCAAAACTCATTGAGAAATGTCTCACTTAGCGACAGAAATTTTGGGCTGAATTGTGGTTGTAAGTCAAGGACTACCCGGATATGGATGACGTGCAACTATTCTTGTGGTGCCCATGTTCTGATTATATTTTTCTAGGTCAGGGGGTAGCCCACTATGGTACCATTACGACCTGTGAAGTTGAAGGTCGTAAAAGTGCCATAGTTGTCTGCCCTTCTTCTAGGTCTTTGTTGTGGCCTGTTGGCCGCCGGCCCCTCCAACAGCCAAATCAGAGGAGGAGGAGGATGCGTGGGAGTCAGGGTCAGCATCAGGGCAACCTGAGAGCTCCAAGGGGGAAGAAGGAATGGAGCTGACAGAGAGACAGAGGCGGAGCCTGGACCATCCGTCAGCCCTCCAATGGAGAGTCAACAGCCCCCAGGTCTGTAGGTGACTGATGAGGAAGAGGAGGAACAGCTGGGTCCAGTGCCTGTCTTGCGGATGCACAGAAGGCAGAGGAGAGGAGAGAACTGGAAATCTATGGGCCGGTCCTCGGGACAGAAGAGCCCCCACTGCTAGCGAAGCCCCACTCTATTTTGGCTCTGGGTATCCTTCTTTTTAACACAGTTGCTAAGAAAAGGGTGAGGTTTGCTATGTGTTTCACCACCATCTTCAAGCCTTTTTAATTCAGAGCAAATTTGAGCCTGCAAGAATCAGCTTGCGGACAACGGAAGCCTGTTTCGTTCACAGATCAGAGAACAGCTTGTGATTTATATGCAGTGGGAGATCTCTTACTTTCCTTAATCTGGGCTTCCTTGCTTGCTTTTTGTTTGTTTTGTTTTTTTAGCTTGGAGAACAGTTGGCGCAGTTGGTCCCTGCCAGCGGGGTGGATCTGGTGGATCTGGAGGACGAAGGCACCTGCGTGCGTTTCAGCCCTTTAATGACTTCTGCAGGTAACCGGCTCCCTTTTTGTACCATGGACCATGTTCGTCTTTGTCAAACAAATCGAAACCAGAACATGACTCAGAAGCATCCGAACAAACAAACTTAATCCTGATCTGTATCACATAGACCAGGGGTGTCAAACTGAAGGCCTGGGGGGGTGGATCCGGCCCGCAGGGTGCTTAGAATCTGGTCCGTGGGCCCACCCTGGAAACAGTGAAGGAGCAGCCTGCGTTGCCTCTGCCAGTGAAAAAGGAGCTCGGGAGGGCTGTTCGCGGCCCTCCCGGGCTCCATTTTATGCCACGACGGCCTCCTGCAACCCTCTGCAAGTGAAAATGGAACTCGGGAAGGCCGCACGGCCCTCCCAAGCTCCGTTTTCGCTGGCAGAGGGCTGCAGGAGGTCGTCGCAGCCCAAAACGGAGCCTCGATGATGTGACATTGAGCTGGCCACACCCACCCGGGCTATGTCCCCCTCCCCCAACCCCCTGAGGTCAAACACAACCCTGATGTGGCCCTCAATGAAATTGAGTTTGACACCCTTGACATAGACAGTACTTAAAACAACCAACAAATACAGCCAGCCAATCAAACGGTCTGAAATTAGACCATGACTCGAATACCGGAACAGACAACATTCAGATTAATTTGCATCTCATAAAAAGGTATTTAAAGACCCGTTTTCTGACAGACGAGCACAACTCAAAAGCCATGGACGATGTCTTCCCCGAACGGTGACGAAACGTTTGCAACCAAATTGCCGAGCTCGGAGCTCATACCAACAAGCCTAACTACTTGCATTTGCTTGGGTTTGCAGGATGACAGAGGCTGTCCCTTGTAACCGAAGACAGGCGACACGCTAATGTAGCAAATCTTTTCAGTTTTAGGAACCGAAGTGCAAGATGTGGATCAGTTGATGGACTGCTTAAAAATGAAGGTCCCAGTTCTGAACTGCACTTTACAGCTGAGAGAGGAATTCGAACAGGAAGTGAAAAGAACCGTCGGCTTGTCCTACGTGGAAGATTTTACCTGGCCTGGCCTCGGGGTGGTCAGGTATGTGTGTTCTCTCAAAACAGAGCAAGCCACTAGTATTGTTGTGGCCTGTCAGCCGCTAGCTCCACCAGCAGCCGAATCAGAGGAGGAGGAGGAGGCGGTGTGGGAGTCAGGGTCAGGATCAAGGCAACCTGAGAGCTCCGAGGAGGAAGAGGGAATGGAGCTGGCAGAGAGAGACACAGAGGTGGAGCCTAGGCCATCCCATCAGCCCTCAGATGGAGAGTCAACAGCCCCCAGGTCTGGAGGTGGCTGATGAGGAAGAGGAGGAACAGCTGGGTCCAGTGCCTGATGCACGGATGTGCAGAAGTCAGAGGAGAGGAGAGCAGTGGAAATCTATGGGCCGGTCCTCGGGACGGAACAGCCATCCCTGCTAGCAAAGCCCACCCTAGCTCTAAAAGCAAGGGGCAGAGATGAATAGATGTGGCAGACAACTATTCATCTCTCTGCCGGACAGACTTGTTAGCCTGCGTTGAGAAACTGGCACTCCTAATAAAGGAATCATTGCTTCAGCTACAGAGGGTTTGTCGTGTTTAAGGAGCTGGGTCAGAAGAAAGATATAAAATAAGAGCAAACCCTACTCTCTTATAGCACTGATGCCGTAATCTCGTTTGGTAAACGTAAGCACAGATCAGTAGGGAGGGGGAAAAACGTAGGAATGGAAGTAAATCAGTATTTACTTTTGACTTGGTTTGGAAAGGTACAAGGGCCAAAACGAAGAGACACCGGAGAAAGACATGGAGAAGATAAACAGTGGCCTTCTGAAGAAGCTCAACGAACTGGAATCAGACCTGTTATTTTCTTTAGGTAATTGGCTATCTATGAAACGTGTGTGTGTGTCAGAGATGCTTCTAGATACATCAGTAAGTTCGGCCTAGATACTAGCCTAGACACTGCATTCCAGTCCACCCTTAGGCATGAAAGCCGGCTGGGTGACTTTGGACCAATCACCAGGAGATTGGGAGTTCTAGTCCCGCCTTAGGCATGAAAGCCAGCTGGGTGACTTTGGGCTAATCACCAGGAGACTGGGAGTTCTAGTCCCACCTTAGGCATAAAAGCCAGCTGGGTAACTGGGCCATTTACCAGGAGACCGGGAGTTCTTGTCCCACCTTAGGCATAAAAGCCAGCTGGGTAACTTTGGGCCATTTACCAGGAGACCGGGAGTTCTTGTCCCGCCTTAGGCATAAAAGCCAGCTGGGTGACTTTGGGCCATTTACCAGGAGACTGGGAGTTCTAGTCCCACCTTAGGCATAAAAGCTAGCTGGGTAACTTTGGGCCATTTATCAGGAGACCGGGAGTTCTTGTCCCGCCTTAGGCATGAAAGCTGTCTGGGTAACTTTGGGCCATTTACCAGGAGACTGGGAGTTCTAGTCCCACCTTAGGCATAAAAGCCAGCTGGGTAACTTTGGGCCATTTACCAGGAGACCGGGAGTTCTTGTCCCGCCTTAGGCATAAAAGCCAGCTGGGTGACTTTGGGCCATTTACCAGGAGACTGGGAGTTCTAGTCCCACTTTAGGCATAAAAGCTAGCTGGGTAACTTTGGGCCATTTACCAGGAGACCGGGAGTTCTTGTCCCGCCTTAGGCATGAAAGCCAGCTGGGTGACTTTGGGCCAGGTCCTTTCTCTGATCCCCTCATCTCACAGAGCCGGCTAGATGACCTTGGCCCAGTCATCAGGAGACTGGGAGTTGTAGTCCGGCCTTAGTCATGAAAGCCAGCTGGGTGACTTTGAGCCAGTCACCAGGAGACTGGGAGTTCTAGTCTAGCCTTAGGCATGAAAGTCGGCTGGGTGACCTTTTTTTTTTTTTTTTTTAATTTGATTTATATGCCACCCTTCTCCGAGACTCAGGATGGCTTACAATGCGTTAAGCAATTGACCTTGGGCCAATCACCAGGAGACTGGGACTTCTAGTCCCGCCTTAGGCATGAAAGCCAGCTGGGTGACTTTGGGCCAGGTCCTTTCTCTGATCCCCTCATCTCACAGAGCTGTTGTCATCTCTTTGAGTTATTTATAAAAATAAGGTGGGTATAAAAAAAAATCTAAAAAAAAGAATCCCTGCCCAACAACTATGTAGTCACGCCACAGAGAAAATTTGCATTTATGTATTTCATCTCGCTTCCTGGAATTACTGTATTTATTGGAGTATAAGACGCACCAGAGTATAAGAAGCACCTTAATTTTGGGGGAGGAAAATAAGAAAAAAGCTGATTGGCAGGTGGATCGGCCTCCCGGAATGAATTTTAGCAACAGGTTCCTTGGTTGTGAGCTCTGTGCCTTGCTTTTTTTTTTTGCTTTCTATTCTGCCTCTGAAACTTCTGAAACTCTGTTTCAGAAAAAACTGTTTTTCCTGCCTCTGAAAGCCTCCGAAACAGAGCTTCAGAAAAAAAGCCTCTGAAGCTCTGTTTGGGGGCTTCTTTTCTGAAGCTTCTTTTCTGATGCTTTTTTCAGCCTCTGAAACCTCCGTTTGAGAAGCTGGGCGGGGCTACATTCGGAGTATAAGACACACCCAGATTTTCTCCCTCTTTTTGGGGGGGAAAAGGTGCGTCTTATACTCTGAAAAATACGGTATTAATCAAACCATCTTTTTTGTTTTCTTTGTTTCATTTTTTGAAAGATCCTGGCATTGTGAACAGGATTCCCATCCCACAGATAGTGAAGAGGTGTCTTTCATGGTTCTCTCTGTGTATTCAATATTATTTCCAAGATTTGGCCATACATAGTTTGCCAAATCACTCCCAAGTTTTAAAAAGAGCATCGTAGAAAAGTGTTCTCTTGCTTGCCTCAGCTTTCTTCCCCCCGCCTTTGATCAAAAGCTCAGCCCAATCTCTATTTGAAAGCAGCTTCTTGTCAGCCTTGAAAGAAACTGCCATGGTATTAATCTTGTTTTGTCTACAAGGTACCTTCTATCATATATGGTGGCTGTGCCCTGAAATGAAAAAAATACTGGAAGAAAAGACACGGGGTTACAGGAATTAACAGGACTTCAGATAGAATATACCCCGGAACTATTTCTTCTAGGAATACTTAAAGGGAAATACGACAAAAGAATAATATATATATCATTTTACATATAATAACTGCAGCAAGGATAGCTTTCGCGCAATGCTGGAGAAATACAAACATTCCTTCCGAAGGTTAAGTAATTAAAAAAATATTTGATCGTGCAGAAAGGGACAAATTGACAATTGAACTGAAAGGACAAATAGATTCGGAATACTGCACAATATGGGAGAAGTGGTACCACTGGATTGAGAACAGAAAAAATGGAAAAGAAATAGACAAAATAGAAGTAGAATTAAAATGTATAGTAAAAATGTACAGAGTGTATATTTGAATTGGAATGTTATGGTATATAAATGGTTGCAGTTATGCATAAGTTGTGAGTAAGATTTGTTTAATTGTAAAAATGCAATAAAATCATCATCATCATCATCATCATCATCTTGTTTTGTTTTGTCTTGTCTTCCTTCTAGGGCCGGAATTTGGAGCAGAGAAGAACTGCATTTACATCGGAATGGTCACCGAGGATCTCGACGTCTCTGAACTGGTGGAAACGATTGCAGCATCCGGTCGCGAAATTGAAGAAAATTCAAGGGTGCGTACCAGGAGCCCCCTGGGTTTTGGAACCCAGTTGTGCCATCGTGCAAGTTAGCCCCGTTGCGTGCTGTGAGATGAAAAGGCTTGAAAAAGCCACCGATGTGGCACACACAACACAACACTTGAGACAGGCTAAAATGGGGACTGGTTGCTTGGATGTTTAGTAAGTGATGGAAAAACTCACCGTTGTCTCCCACCTGATGCATGAGCCAAGTCATTTTATTTTGATATGATATCTTTGCTGAACCATATATTATTCTATTCTATTCCATTCCATTCCATTCCATTCCATTCCATTCCATTCCATTTATTCTATTCTATTCTAGTCCAGTCCAATCCATTCCATTTATTCTATTCTATTCTAGTCCAGTCCAGTCCAGTCCATTTATTCCATTCCATTCCATTCCATTCCATTCCATTCTATTCTAGTCCAGTCCAGTCCAGTCCAGTCCAGTCCAGTCCATTTATTCTATTCTTTCTATTCTATTCTATTCTATTCCATTCCATTCATTCCATTCTATCCCATCCCATCCCATCCCATCCCATATTTTATACTACTCTACTCTATATCCAACACACTTCCTATTTTCCCCAGAACAACCACCCTGTGAGGTGGGTTGGGCTGAAAGAGAGAGACTGGCCCAAAGCCACCCAGTTGGCTTTCATGGCTAAGGCAGGACTAGAATTCACAGTCTCCTGCTTTCTAGCCTTGTGCCTTAACCACTAGGCAAACTGGCTCTCTCATATTATGTCAATAAAGTTTTGGGGTTTGTTGGTCTGGATTTTGGTCACTGAACAAATCTGGCTCATGTTTCTATTATTCCAAAGGCTCAGATCACACTTGCACCTTCTTTAATCCACACAAAGTGTCTTAAGTACTGTAAAGTCAGACTAATAAACCAAGAGAAAATGTATTAGCAATCTGAAAATTGGCTGGTTCCCTTTTTTCCTTTCAGAAACTTAATCAAATTGCCCTTTTTTGATATAAATAAATAAATACTAAATAGCTCCTAGCTCTCCAATTTGAATGTCAGTAACTTTCTGTAAAGAAGTAGGCCATTAATGGATTGATTTTGTATCGCTGGAAAAGCAGTAATGGACTTTTCCCCCAAACCCATTTGGAGTGCAATTTATTTAATTTTCAGGAGTCAGCAGCAGTAAATTAAATGACGTGATTAATGCTCAAATTAACCCAGGTGTATTAACTAGGGTTTTAATAATGAAGGTGGCATTCAAAGCAAAGGGGGAGGGGGGGGGAAACCACAGCTCTTAATCCTCAATCACCATTTTTATGATACTCTTGAAAATGTGGAAATTTTTTATTTTCCCTAACTCCCCACCTAACGATTCTATTTATAGTTCCCATAAAACTACTTCATTCGTTCAAATAATTCCCTTTCACTTCATTACTTTATATCAAGGATGTCCAATCTTGGCAACTTTGTGGACTTCACGTCCCAGAATTCCCCAGCCGGTCTGGATTTCAAATCCCAGAATTTCCCAGCCAATCTGGTTTTCAAATCCCAGAATTCCCCAGATGGTGTGGACTTCAAATCCCAGAATTCCCCAGCCAATCTGGTTTTCAAATCCCAGAATTCCCCAGATGGTGTGGACTTCAAATCCCAGAATTCCCCAGATGGTGTGGACTTCAAATCTCAGAATTCCCCAGCCAATATGGTTTTCACATCCCAGAATTCCCCAGACGGTGTGGACTTCAAATCCCATAATTCCCCAGCCAGTGTGGACTTCAAATTCCAGAATTCCCCAGCCAATCTGGTTTTCAAATCCCAGAATTCCCCAGCCAGTGTGGACTTCAAATCCCAGAATTCCCCAGTCAGTCTGGACTTCAACTCCCAGAATTCCCCAGCCAGCCATGCTGGTGGGGAATTCTGGGAGTTGAAGTCCACAAGTCTTAAAGTTGCTGTCTTTAGCTTTAAATACTTTCAGATAGATTAGAGAAGTGGCGTTTTTCACATTCATCCGATTTTCTTTCTGATCAGCTTTTGGAAAACATGACCGAGGTTGTTCGAAAAGGCATCCAAGACGCACAGGTTCAGTTGCAAAAAGCCAACGAGGAACGCCTCCTGGAAGAGGTGAGTAGATGGTGGGGAGGCCCTCTTCTTTCTGGCATTCCTCTTCTTGATATTTGGCTGGGCACTTCATTGTTAATTCTCCTGTTCTTTCCAGGGTTTGCTTCGACAGATTCCCGTGGTGGGCTCGGTCGTCAACTGGTTCTCTCCATTCCATGCCTCACCAAAGGGACAAACCTTTAACCTAACGGCAGGTGAGGTAAAATTTGACTGGGCGAGTCTTGAACCAGGATTAATTATCCTGAGGTAACGAGAAATACCGGAGATTTAGCTTGAAGGATGTTCCTAGCCAACATCCAAGTTCTTTCCACCACCCTTTCATTTTCCCACCATTGCTTGGACATAAGGGTTGACCATTGTAAAGAAGTAGGAAGCCAGGATGCTAGACCAGAGGTCTCCAAACTTGGCAACTTGTGAACTTCAGCTTTCAGAGATGAGCAGAGATGGGCTCAAAGAGAGGAAAGACATAGCTGTCAGGGTTCAAGTAACACCCCCAATGAAAGAAGACTCCGAGGCTTGAAGTTCCTCAAAGTTCCATTTTATTAGAGATGTCATATTGGCACATCTGGGAAAACCCGAATCTGAAAGCTTCCAGGTTTTCCCCACCCAAGTGAAAGTTCAAGCCCCTGCCACATGTTCATCACATGTTCCAATCATCCATCATCCAAACTAGAAACACCTTCCAGTCATCCGACTCCAGGTGCCAGGGCAAGGTGTCCTTGACTCTCTGAGAAAGGAGTGTTATTATGACTACATATCTCCCATACTCCATACAATGCCCCCTCCCATTTTCCCACAGTAGAAAAATGTGGCAGGCCTGAAGGCCTATCGTAAAAGATGGCTTCCAGGCCTGACATTAGCTGTAATTCAGCATTGTCCATAACGCCATGAGGAAAAGTGCGTTGATCTTCAGGCGTCCCGTTTTTCTAAACTCTGCAGGGATCTCCATCAGTTTTCTGCAGGAGACTCTAGAAGAAAACACGAACTAATATTTTCCAAGGTTTGAAAGTGCCAATGGAGAGTCTCAGTCATCCAGGTCATTGTTGTCCCAAAGATGTTTTTTTTCAAGAGGCAGCTGGACTTTCTTGACACAAGAAAGTCCAGATGCCTTGAAAAAAACACCTTTGGGCCGAGGTTTGAAAGCTTCCAAAGGCCCAATAGAGCAGGGGTCTCCAACCTTGGCAACTTTAAGACTTGTGGACTTCAACTCCCAGAGTTCTGGGAGTTGAAGTCCACAAGTCTTAAAAGTTGCCAAGGTTGAAGACCCCTGCAATAGAGAATATAGTTCACCTCTGATTCCATTCCAAATCTCTCCTGTTCCTTTTTTGATAGAACCACCAGATTGGTCTGTCTTGAACAGGGGTATCAAACTCAAGGCCCATGATGTGGTCGGATCCGGCCCACGAGGCTGTCCTGGTCTACCCAATGCGAAGAGGAAAGATCAGGCCAGCGTGGCTTCGGCCCGGTCTACCCAGTGCGAAGAGGAAACATGCCAACAGTTTGGGGAGTGGCCTCAAGATGGCTACGCCCACCCGGTTGGCCACACCCACCCAATCGGCCACCCCCACTCCCGAGGTCAACCACAGTCCTGATGCGGCCCTCAATGAAATTGAGTTTGATACCCGTGGTCTAGAATGTTTGATTGGTGGCCAGAATTACGATCTTAAAACTGGAAAGTTAGAGATGATTTCTGAACTTTCGCAGTTAATTCTCAAACAATCACTTGGGAGATGTTCAACTCCAAGAAAAGTCAACTTAACACAGTCAGGGAAACATGGCACATGTCATGAGTTCCAAGGCTCTTAGGAGATCAGTATCTCTTCCTTCCTTGTGTGCATCCTATGATCAATGCATTTATCCAGATCTGATGTGTTCGCATCCATTTCTTTGGCAGGTTCTTTGGAATCCACAGAGACAACATACATATCTAAAGCCCAGGGCACGGGGATCACCCCACCTCCCACTCCCACATCAAGCCGTGCTAAACAGAAGTTCCCTGGTAAGTTGTGTCAGGGTTCTGATGAATGCCCTAATTAAATCATGTGCCTCGAGCCAAGCTTCAAAAGAAATCCAGTTATTAGGAGCTCTATGTCAGCACATTCCAAGTGAAGACAACTCTGACTCCACGTAATTTACGACCGAGACTTCACCCTGTTTCCCCCCTCCCCCCAGGTTGTGTCATCGGTCACATTCGCCAACGGAGCAATTTCACGGATTGTAGAGCTCACTCCCATCTGGCCGCTTTGGGTAACCCTGGGAGACAGCCTTGAGAGAGATATGTCTGGAATGTGCTTTTGTTTTTGGCTGCCGTGCTGCTTCTCCGGTTTCCCATCCCCCTTGTCTATGGCAACTCGAGAGCAGGCCAGGGATGCTTTGCGAGTTGACAAGTTGGCTTCATCTTCAGTTTTATTTTATTTTTTTTTAAAAAAGCAATGAGAAGAATTCTTTCTATATTCTGGTTTATGAAGCCAGAGTTAGAAAATCCTATTGTGTTTAGAACGGGAGCGTCCAACCTCGGCCACTTTAAGACCCGCGGACTTCAACTCCCAGAATTCCCCAGTCAGACATGCTGGCTGGCTGGGGAATTCTGGGAGTTGAAGTCCATAAGTCTTAAAAGTTGCCAAGGTTGGACAGCCCTATCTTAGAATGTCCTAGAATGGGACCAGATAGGAGAGCAAGGCTCATCTAGTCAGCCATCTCCAAAACTAAGCTGGTGACAATGTCCTTCTTAGTGACAAACTACTATGGAAATTTCTGGGAGGAAGAGACGAGTAAAACAGGAACTAATAACATGTGAAGCCTAGTCAATTTTTGTGGATCGCTAAGAAGTTAAACAGATTCAATCTGGTTAGTGGCACCAGGAAATCCAGGGCTAAGGCCTAGACTAAGGGAAAGGGAAAGGTTCACCTCGCACATATGTGCTAGTGGTTCCTGACTCTAGGGGGCGGTGCTCATCTCCATTTCAAAGCCAAAGAGCCAGCACTGTCCGAAGACGTCTCCGTGGTCATGTGGCCGGCATGACTCAACGCCAAAGGTGCACGAAATGCTGTTCCCTTCCCACCAAAGGTGGCCCCTATTTTTCTACTTGCATTTTTTACCTGCTTTCGAACTGCTAGGTTGGCAGAAGCTGGGACAAGTAACGGGAGCTCACCCCGTTACGCGGCACTCGGGATTCGAACCGCTGAACTGCCGACCTTTCGATCGACAAGCTCAGTGTCTTAGCCACTGAGCCATCACGTCCCTAGCCTAGACTAGGAAGTCAAAATTAAATACTTACATATCTATTTTTTTTAAAAAAAAATCTTGCGATAGGACTGAGAAATTTGTATTGGGAGGAATTTGCTTTAATTTAGTTGAACGACACTGGGAATGAAATAATTCTCAGCTGTTCGAATAAAGTTTTTTTTTTTTAATTTGATTTATATGCCGCCCTTCTCCGGAGACTCAGGGCGGCTTACAATGCATTAAGCAATAGCCTTCATCCTTTTGTATATTTATACAAAGTCAGCTTATTGCCCCCACAAACTGGGTCCTCATTTTACCTACCTTAGAAAGGATGGAAGGCTGAGTCAACCTTGAGCCTGGGGAGAATTGAACTCACAGTAATTGCAGGCAGCTGGATGTTAAATGCTGCCTTAGGAGGCATTAGCCTCCTACACCACTCAGGCTTGTTTGTTTTTTCACTGACTGTTTTTCCTACTACTTACTTGGACCTGGGTCACAACACCAGTGTTCCCAAGTCACATTTTTCAGTGCCGGTGTAACTTTGAATGGCCACTAAATGAACTGCTGTAAATCAAGGACCGACGACTTACACGGACAAGGCTAACAGAGGCGAACCTTTCTCATCCCCGTGTTTTTCATTCCAGGTCAAAAACTGTTTAAACGGGCCGGGAGGAACTCGGATGGGGTCAGCGAAACCAGCTCGGTGAGCCTAGCTACCGACTTGGACAGAGGAGAATTCGCAGCTTCTCCCGTCAAGACGGAGAACGGCCAGCCGTCGAGCGAAAGCACGCCTCCTCTCCACCAGGAAGCCACGGGCGTTTCCCCAGGCGCCACGTCTCAAGCCCCGGGAAATGGCCATCCGCTAACCGAAGAGCAAGAGAACCTTAGATAAAACCAAAGCTCTGTGCAAATCAGACTTTGTACAGGGGTTAAAAGAAAAGCGCACTTCGCTCCAGAAGGGAAACCGAACGACGCATTTAAAAATGTGAAAACCGTTGCCGGAGGAAGTCAGTTACGAATCGCTATTCGTGTGTGATTGGCGGGAGGTTTTGCACAAAAATTAGTGGAAAGGCTGCTCTGTCTCTCTCGCTCTCTCAGTTCCTTTTTTACTTGTCTCGCTTGGTTTCCTCTCGTTTATCCTGCACGCCCGTTTAGTGCCAAGGTTGGATCTGGGGTGGCTTAGGAACGTTTTTTTTCCCTTCTTAGCGGGGAACGTGCAAGAATTAGGAGCCGAACAGAGTGTCCCCCCCCCAAAAAAAATGCCTGATTTTATTTTATTTTTTTAAAATTAAATTAAAAGTTGCTTTGCACAGTCTTTCCTTGGTTTTTCTAAATTAGATTGTACGCTGTGCTGGGATTAAATTAATCTAGTTCCTGTTTGCTGAGCCCACCAGCTGCTGGCTATTTTTAATTTAACAAGTGTTTAAAATATTTTTCAAAGTCCAGCTGCCTTTACTGTTTAACATGGCGCTATTTGGGGAGTGGGGGCGGGGGGGGTTAAGTTGCTTTCAGGTTCCCCAAATTTTTGCCTCGACAGACTTAACTGCCTTTTTCAGCGCCGGTCGGTGGACGAAAAAGGGAGAACAAGATGCATTTCCCAGGGTCCTAAGAGTTAAACTCTAAAGAGGTAGCTTTAGACGTTTCCTTGCCAGAGCCAAATTAAAAAGTAGGGGTGGCGGGGGAGAAATATCCCACAGAACAAAAACCCAGTTTGAAAAGTTTGCGTTGAAGGGACATCCGTCCTTAATTGCTCAATGCTGCTTTTGGGCAGATCGCAAGACGCCGAAAAAGGTGGCCTATTGGTCCATTCCCTCTCCCTTTACCGTTCTTAGCTTTTCTCATCAGTTGGTTGCATTTGTTAAATATTGTAAATATTCAGAGAAATTAGCTTATTATACAGTACCGCACTAAGGGAAAGAAATAAACACACAGAGTTGATTTGATTTTTAAAGTCGAGAGTAGATATTCGAGCGTGGATTCCTCACCTTGGTGATTAATTATGCCTCCCCCCCTGAGACATTTAGCTCTCTGTTAAACAGACCAACTTGGTTCCCCTAAGAGACTTGGCTGCACTTGATCTCTCTTCCCCTATTCACCCCGTGTTCTGATTTTGTTTCACACACACAATTCTTTTTTAAGCAATATTTCTCTGTAGCAGAGTTTTCCTCAATCTGCTGCTATCTGGGCACATCGGACCGGTTTCCACCCAGAAACCCACGAATTTGGGGAAATGAAATTCAACATCCCGAGAATGGCAACAGTTGGGGAAACGCGGTGGCATTTAATAAGAGTTCCGTTTAGATTTAATCGATCAATAAAACCAGTGTAAGCGAAGGGACTTTTATTGTCAGCCGTTGAAGGCGTCGATTCTATTCTAACACAGATAATAAAAATTAAGGAATGGTATTTTCAAAATCATTTTTTTTTTGGTGATGGTGGTAGTTATATAATCCAGTGTTGAGACTGCAAGGCATCCTAAGCAGAAAAAAATTGCCATTCCCTTGACAAAAAGAAAGAAAGTCTAAAACAGTCCCGTGTGGTCGTAATTGTAGAAATTACAAATTTGGAAATGGGAGGGTTTTTTTTTCTGCTTTAAAATCCCCAAGGATCCAGACACGATTCACATCAGTTATGGAAGTCCTCACCAAACTAGATCTTACAGTGAATGCTAGCATTTTCTCCTCTCTTCTAATAATTTACTTGAGGATCTGTTATCCTTTGCACTCAAGTGGGCATTAAGAGTTCCAAGTTTTGCTTAATATTATTTATGGAGGTTTGAGAGGTAATGGTCAGCAGATCTAGTTTACTCTAGAGTAACCAGTTTCTTGAAGCTCAGCTAGAACCAGTTGGAGCTCTTCCATGGGTACTGGAGCAACTGTCTTTAATGACCAAAACGTTTGTTAAAGGTTAACAAAAGCTCGTTCTTTCTTGATTTGAGGATTATCACTGGTTAAATGTAGAGTTAACTCCCAACTATTAAGGGTTGATTTTTTTTCTAAAGTGCAAATTTAATTCCTGTCTTCCTTTTGACTGTTTATTTAGTGCAATGATTTATATTAACTTGGGTTCATGAAGGGGAGGGGGGGGAAGGTTAAAGTTATAATTGTTAATATAAATTTTAATGTTTTATATCAAGCTGGCAGTTTTGCTGGAATACAGTCCTAATTTAGATACTTCCTAAATGCTTCAATAAAGGTTCTTCAACTTGTTGTATCCGAGTTTGTGATGGTTTAAAAGAACCAACCAGCAAAATCCTAGAGAAGTAGGGAATATACACATTAGAAGACTTTTGATTATTTAATCCAGAATTTCTGACAGTGGTTAGAAATCGAGCATCATTATAAACCATGTTTGGTTTTAAGTATCTTTAAATTGAACAAGTTTAAAGACAGCCCTGCAAATGAAATCAAGGTCTAGAAATTTGGACAATTTCTAGATTGGGGTTTTCTCTGACCTTGGTTATTTTCTTTTCAGACATTTCATGACCCAACTAGGTAACATCATCAATGCTGGAAGGGAGCAGGGTTTGCTCTCTGTTTATGGTTCGTTTTGTCTTTGTTTTTAAATCTCTACTAGCCTTCTGGCTGTAGATGCCTCAGCAGGACACAAAAACCCAGCCAGAGAATCACAACAACCTACTGCTTCATAACCAAGGGACGCAGTGGCTCAGTGGCTAAGATGCTGAGCTTGTCGATCAAAACGTTGGCAGTTCAGCGGTTCAAATCCCTAGTGCTGCGTAACGGGGTGAGCTCCCGTTACTTGTCCCAGCTTCTGCCAACTTAGCAGTTCAAAAGCACGTAAAAAATGCAAGTAGAAAAATAGGGACCACCTTTGGTAGGAAGGGAACAGCGTTCCGTGCGCCTTCGGCATTTAGTCATGCCGGCCACATGACCACGGAGACGTCTTCGGACAGCGCTGGCTCTTTGGCTTTGAAACGGAGATGAGCACCGCCCCCTAGAGTCGGGAACGACTAGCACATATGTGCGAGGGGAACCTTTACCTTTACCTTACATAACCAAGTTAGACTTGAAAGAGTAAACCAGTAATAAATCTAGGTTTTGGTGGCGCAGTGGTTAGAGTGCAGTACTGCAGGCTACTTCTGCTGACTGCTGGCTGACTGCAATTTGGCAGTTCGAATCTCACCAGGTTCAAGGTTGACTCAGCCTTCCATCCTTCCGAGGTGGGTCAAATGAGGACCCAGGTTGTTGGGGGCAAGAGGCTGACTCTTTTAAACTGCTTAGAGAGGGCTGTAAAGCGGTATATAAGTCTATTGCTGTTGCTATTGCTATTTTTAATTGGTCTGCTGCCCTTAAATGAACAGTATTTTATTCACTGAACTGGATTGTAAATTGCACTTAGTCAATCACACACACACACACCCAAATACCACTTTACATCAGCTGGTGAATCCAGCTGATAAATACAGCCATCTGCTTGAGCTAAAAGTTCCGTGCAAGTACTCCTCAACTTACAACTAGTCACTTAGCAACCATTCAGAGTTATGACGGACTTCTCAAAAGGTACGTACAATCAGGTTCTGAAGTTCCGATGGCTGCCCCACCCTATAATTAGCTTTCTTAGGTCTGACACATACACAAACACCAGACGGATGTTCGGTCTTGCTCAGAAATTGTAAAACAGCATAGAAAGAAAGAAAAAAAAGATGTGGAGACTCTGGAAAGAGTACAGAGAAGAGCAACAAAGAGGATTAGGGGACTGGAGGCTAAAACATGAAAAACGGCTGCAGGAACTGGGTATGTCTAGTTTAATGAAGAGAAGGACCAGGGGAGACATGATAGCAGTCTTCCAACATCCCACAAAGAAGAGGGAGTCAAGTTATTCTCCAAAGCACCTGAAGGCAGGATAAGTAGCAATGGGTAGAAACTCATCAAGGAGAGAAGCAACCTAGAACTAAGAAATTTGCTGACAGGACAATTAAATCAGTGGAATGGCTTTGCTTCCAGAAGTTGTGAATGTTCCAATACTGGAGGTTTTTAAGAGATTGGACAGCCATTTGTCTGAAATGGTGTAGGTGTCAGCATTCTGATGCTGCCATAAAAAGGAGGAGACGAGGCTTGACTTTTCACCTACTTATTTTCTCTGTAGATAATATCCCCTAGGAGATGGGAGGGGAGGGGGGAACATGCCTGTGGGGTGAGGTCAGAAGCTGGGGAGACTGACTTGGAAGATGGGCAATGAGAAGATGAGAATTGGGGAACGGAAAGGGAAGGGTTTGGGGGTCAGAGGGTTAGTATCGGCTATCTGTCAGGTTTCGATGTCATCTCAAATAAATTGCACTCCCAAACAATTAATCTTTGCTGAAATATTCCATTTATTGAGTACGACGAAGTCGGGGCCAGATCTGTCGTACTCAATAAATGGAATATTTCAGCAAAGATTAATTGTTTGGGAGTGCAATTTATTTGAGATGACATCGAAACTTGACAGAAGGGTTTTCTGCTTAAGCAGGGGGTTGGACTAGAAGACCTCCAAGGTCCCTTCCAACTTTTGTTATTCTGTTGAAACGTACCTACTTCAGACACGCATAAATACCTAAAAAGAAAACCAGATTAAATCAATAGCAAGGCAGTTTTAAAAGTTTCCTTACATGCAGAGGTGTTTGAAAAACTTTTGTTTAACAGAAATAATACATTTGATAAAATTTGTTTGGATCCTTGCTTAGAAATGAGGCCCAGGATATAACAAACGGAAAAGATTAAAGCGGTGACTGCTTTTTAATCGTATTATTATTTTGGCTACATTCAATGGTTTGATGGATCTGGTTCAATGAAAATCCCACCTCCTCCGGTGCTGAAAGAACCCAGCAATGGTGAGATCCCAGACCAGATTCTACCAGTTTCTCTTTGACAGAAGAGGAAGCTGAACAGTGGAGAAAAATAACAGCACACACACAAAAAAAGCCGAAACAAAAAAAAAACCCCGTGTGCGGTGAAAGTAGCATCTGAAGCCACGTGGGTTTTATCTTGCAGGAATTATGACTAGTTAATGGAGATTTATTGTAGAAAAAATCAACTTCTAAAAAGGAACGGAAGAGAATCACAACCTATGTTGAGCTGCACTAGACTCCAAAGTCCCACATCAGAGGATAGGTATGTAGGCAAGTCCCCACCCAACATATTTGCCTGCATACATTTGGTCCTCGGTCCAAGAAGAATGTCACGATCGACATTCTTTAGCTACTTCTTGGAGGCCTCAACGCAAACATCTATTCTTAGCTTGGAGAGGTTTCTCCTCGTGTGGCACAAACAAGATCTAGCTTCATTTGAAAGCTCCCTCAACACCTCTGAGATAGTTCCAGAGAAGAGCAAAATTGTCTACGTTGAAAGGTCCTCACCGAAACATCTGGTGTCAAAATCATGTTCTAACTCTACCAGAAGCGTCGTCATGTTGGAAGAGGTCATCCCAACCTCACCGGAACACGTCTCGACTTCGAAATGGACCATTTCAGGGACCAGAACACGCTTCATTCCAACGTGAGAACGTGCCCACAGGAAGGTTCTGCGCGTCTCCAGCTGATATTTTATCAAGGACGTCTCGCTCCGATGAAGCAAGCAGAATGGCGGCTTTGCGTTAAGACGCTGGTCTTGAAGAAACGTCTAAAAGCAAGAAAACGTGACGGAGCAGGGACGGGAGTACCCACGAAGGAGGATCCACCTCCTCCTTTGCAAACGACACTGAGGCCCATTTTATGTTCTTGAGAATTTTGGACCCAACTCCATGAAATGTGAAAAGGTTACCTAATTTTGCACCGAATTGGGCCGCCTGTTTTGGAAAACACGGGATATTTTGAGGGACGTTGAGACCCTCATCCCATAAATGCAGCCCACTGGTTTTCCCTGATTGTCTTTTGTGGGGGGGGGGGCTCGCCAGGTAAAGGTGCATGGCCTAGGGAGGGTCTGTTGACACCTTTCTTGACTTTCACTTCCAGAGCTCTCCTGGTTTCTCCACTCTGGGTTAGATCTGGCCAGAGACTCTCTCCCACAAGCCCTCGGCGTTTTTTTCGTAGAGGCGAGGTTTTTGAGTTGGGAAGAGGGTCTTATCTGGGAATGGATGCTCTCTTAGATAAAGCAGGGTAGCTCTGATGTGTGACACAAAATGCGGTGGCTCAGCCAGTGGCGATGTGGAGAGATTCTGCAGAGATACAAAAAGGGAATATTTTAAGGAAACCGACTTGGTGCTCTCTAAGCTTGTTTTTTTTTTTCCTTTTCTTACCTATGTTTCATTACCCAGCCACTAGAATATAAACAAAACAACAAACCCCACTCTCAAGTTGTAGCACTGATGATGTTACCTAGTTGGGTCATGAAATGTCTACAAGAAAACAACTAAGTTCAGAGAGCTCCAAGGACCCCCCCCCCCGGTCCTTCTCCTCCTCTTTCACCTCTTCCTTTTTCTCCTCTTTCTCTCCCTCCTCCTCCTCTTCCTCTCCACGAATCCCCCTCCCTTCTAGCCCTGGTGATGTTACCTAGTTGGATCATAAAATGTCTGCAAGAAAACCACCAAACGCAGAGAGTGTCAAGGACCCCCCAGTTTCAACCCCAAGCTCAAATTTATTTTTTTGTTTTAATTTGATTTATATGCCGCCCTTCTCCGGAGACTCAGGGTGGCTTACAATGTGCTCAGTAATAGCCTTCATACTTTTGTATATTTTATACAAAGTCAGCTTATTGCCCCCACAAACTGGGTCCTCATTTCACCTACCTTAGAAAGGATGGAAGGCTGAGTCAACCTTGAGCCTTGGTGAGATTCGAACCTGCAGTAATTTCAGGCAGCTGGTCTTAATAACCAGCTTAATAACAGGGTGCCTTAGACCACTGTACTACCAAGGCTCTTCTATTCTACCAAATATTCTCTTCTATTGATCTTAGGAGAGTCTTAGGGTTACTGTTTACATAAGATTATCAAAACATGTTCCTCCTACACACAAGTCAATAGATGGATTGATCAAACCACAACAAGGAAATCCAATTTGGTGGCGCAGCAGACTAAAGTGCTGTTAAGTAGCACCAGCTGCCTGCAATTACTGCGAGTTCAATTCTCACCAGGCTCAAGGTTGACTCAGCCTTCCATCCTTCCGAGGTAGGTAAAATGTGGACTCGGTTTGTGGGGGCAATAAACTGACTTTGTATAAAAAAGAACACCGCTTAGGGGGGGACCAAAAGCCCTACTAAGCAGGTATATACAAAAGTATGAAGGCTATTGCTTAACGCATTGTAAGCCGCCCTGAGTCTCCGGAGAAAGGGCGGCATATAAATCGAACCAATAAATAAAAATAAATAAATAAATGGAATGCCCAACTGGCGTTCAGACATTACATACTTTGCTTCCCCGTTGCTTGCTGGCTAAGTTTACAACCTCCTGGGAGTACACACTGTAGTAAGCTATGGTTTATAAACCGCGATGGTTGGAGACCCAGAAAACGGTAAACCAAAAACGAAAGAATCATATTGCGGCTGAACGTAATACACGAACTCGGCAATCTTTCAGTCGAGCTTTTCTCCAAGTGGGGTCCCCGATGTCCTTGGCAAACTCCAGCTACCTGTAAGATGCTCTGGTTGCTCTGCTCCAACCAGAAATCCACGTGGGGGAAAGGCATCCAGTAGTAAGGCCCAATGCAAAGTTGTTCCTTCTTGGAGTCATAAATGCTGATCATCTAACAAGAGACAGGACAGCTTCAGCAGGTTATGGGCAGGCGAAACTTGGAGAAAGCGCAGGACAAACTCTGGTGGCTCAGCAGAACCAGAAGCAGAAGGGTTCATCCTGGCCCTGTTAAAATCCTGTTTATGTCTTTCTCCAATTCTCATTTATGTTCCCTGCTCTGACACTTCCATCGGTTTTCTCCCAGGAGACCATCACACCCCAACAATGGCAGGACAAATAACTATCGATCTCCATCAATCTATCGTCTATCTCTCTATCAACTATCTATCATCTATCTCTATCTCTCCCTCTATCCATCCATCCATCATTATCTATCCATCTTTCTCTCATCTATCTATATCATCTATCTCATCTATCTACCTATATCTACCTACCTACCTACCTATTATCTATCATCTATCTCATCTATCTACTTCCCTACCTACCTATCTCATCTATCTACTCACCTATCTCATCTATCTCATCTATCTATCTATCTATCTATCTATCTATCTATCTATCTATCTATC